TTCTGTCTCCAAATGCATTTTTGCTTTTCTTTAATTGAAGACTTACTCAGTAATAATAGTATGTCACATTGGATGGCATCAGTGCTTATGCCCTGCCATTTCACAGGATAGAACTAATTTCATTAATGACAGTAACAATTTATCATCCCCAAATTGAAAATAGGTAGCTTTTTTGTAAAGTTGACCCTATTTTTGTCTGCTTTGTCCAAGGTTTTTAACTGATGGACTAATTAATCAACACTACACGCTGTTGAGGTACAGCTACCATCTAGCACAATTGAATGAATGAGTCAGCAATTAAGATATTCATAGGCTGTCTTGAGTCTTCAGCCACTAACGCAATATTTTCTCATTGTTAATCCTTAGCATATTCACCCTCAACCTTCTGTTTCACGAACTGCATCAAAAACTTAACTCCATATCCTTGGACAATTCCTGACTGTGGTATTTAGAGTCACACTGAAATCACATATTACTTTATTCCCTGTGGATTTCTAGGATTACTTTGTCAACCTTCACCTCAATCTACATTTTCCTTTGTTTAGGAAATATGTTTAAAGATATAACTCAAAGCAGTCCCATCTTTTTACAAGTAGGCTCCTTCGACTTTGGGTCATTAATCACAATCTTCCACTCTTTGTATCACTGTAGAACTCCAGCACATCCGTGAAGGTAGCTAGAACTGGTTGTCTCCATAAAAGCAGGAAGGCTGACGTTTCGGGCCTAGACCCTTGGTCCGAAACATCAGCCTTCCTGCTCCTATGATGCTGCTTGACCTGCTGTGTTCATCCAGGATTTCTGATGAAGGGTCTAGGCCTGAAACGTCAGCCTTTCTGCTCCTATGATGCTGCTTGGCCTGCTGTGTTCATCCAGTTCTACACCTTGTTGTCTCCATAAAAACTTTTTTAAGGCAGCAGCCATTCATCTTAAAGGAGAATCATGACCACAGAATTTGACTCTCCTCAAAACCAAAAGTCTGTGTGAGATTTATACATAATTTAGTAGCTTAAATGCACAGACTGTAACATTTCTAGATTCAATTTATTAACCCTTTAAATAATCTCTTAAACACCTATGATATATCCTTCCATGGACTGATTTGTCTATCTTATTAAATTGATCAAATGCTGAGCTTGCCTTTGATAATTATAATTGGTGATCTTGCAGCATGACTCAACCACTTTACTTTAAAACCTACTGGGAGCTTTGTTTCTGCCAGAAACAAGAATTTTTTTTGCTTTCTTTATCTTCCTGCATGAAGAAATCAAGTTTAATCATCTATCATGTATTGATATCCATATGTTGAATTAGGCAGCAGAAGACTTTGAGGGTTTTATAAGACATTTATAGTTTAGCACAAACATCAGTTTTCACCTTTTCCCTTCTAGATCTTCTGCCTGTCCAGAAGCAAACTCCCCACTGGAGAAGTACTTGACTTTTTTTAAAGTACTTTTTGAGTCCATCTGTTCAGACGTGCTATGCCTTCCAGCTGGAGCAGGTGCTGCGCCACCGGAGCTCCCCCAAACCGTTCATAAATTCACCATTAAATCACCCAATTAGCTAATTTTAAAAGCAGACAACAAATTACAAGCACTGCCTATCTGGGCAACTGCAAATGAAGGAATAGTAAGGAAAGAGGGAGCAGCTAAGTTAAATCAAAATAGTACTGGTGAGAGAAATAATGCACCGAAGTGCCCATTTAAGAACTCGCTCTTAGTTTTTTTTATTTTAGCCTGTTCAGGCATATTATTATGCATTATTAGAGCAGGAAGGACTTGAACCTGCTAGGAACACATCCACGCAGCCCCAAGAGGCCCAAGAATCCAATTTATTTTGTATTCTTGTATGGTGTGTGGACATCACTAGTAAGGACAGCATTTGTTGCCAGTCCCTGATTGTCCTTGAAGTGAGTAGCTAGCTAGGTCATTTCTGAGGACACTTTAGACCCACAATGTGGTTGACTCTTACAGTCACATGTAGGCAAAGAAAGTCCAGTGAGCATCATCTGCTCTCTATTGACTGCTCTTGTGGCACATTGGTAGTATTCCTGCCTCTGAGCTATCAAGTTTGGGTTCAAGTCCCATCTGCTCCAAAGATGTGTAATAACGTCTCTGAGCAAGTTTATTAGAAAATACCTTCTGTTTGAGCCTTAAAGGGACCTACATTTCCACCTCTGAAACAGACACAAAATAGAGTAAAAAATAGTGATATTGTGATTTTAAAAACCGGTTGAAAGAAAAGAAGTAAGGAAACTTTTTAAAGAACAAGCACAAGAGGATACTGTGATAGCAAAATGCTAGAAAGCTCAGTAGACTAGATAAATCTTAGAGAGACAGTTAATGTTGCAGATCTATTATTGGATTATTCTAATCCAGTTGAGTGTTAAAATATTTTATTGCAACTCCTGAAATAATCTTTACTCTGCTTTTCGTACATTTCTCATCAGTTGACTGCACAGTAGAACGTTGTTTTAAATTGTCTTTATCAAGCTTTCATTCAGTTTATCTTAAAAATATTGGCGTAAGTAAAGGATGAGCAGAAAATTGAAATGTTGTGAAAGCTTGGAAATATACAGATTTAGAATTTGGTAGAATTAAATGCAAGAAATAACTTGTTTGTGGCAGGAGGGTCATGAGAAGGAAAAAGTTCAGTAAAGTTGCATGAGATTAAGGTTTATGGGATTGGGTAAGATAAATGGGTTTGAATTGTTTCACGACAGGAAGTAGAGTAAGAATAAATTGATCATTTTCAGATTGGCAGGTTGAAAGTAATGGGTTACTGCAGTTTTTGGATCATGGCTACGTAGGTTTTTATATCGCTGATGTTGAGACCATTTTATATTGCCTCTTCTCATTCTTCCTATGAAATGTATCACTTCTGTCAATTCAGTTTGATCTGCCCAGTGTGCACCTATTCACCAGTCTATGTCCTATTGAAATCTGTCACTATTCTCCTGTCAGTTTACAATACTGAAGTTTTGTATCTTCTACAAAATTTGAAATTATGCTCTGGTCACCAAAGTCTAGACCATTATTATAGATTAAGAAAATCAGTGAAATTAGTGTTGACTATGGGAAATCGCATGTATATCATTCTTAAGGTGCCAGAAAAGGAACCGTTCCCCCATTCTGAAATTCATCCTATGACTTCCTTCCCTCTTATTCTATGGACTTCAACTTTGTCGACAGTTCCCTGTGGCAATTTGTCAAGTACCTTTTGGAAATTTGCATGTACTGCATGAACAGCATTCCTCTCAGCTTCTAATGATCTAGCTTTTCTCATGCCTCCTCTTGATGAATTTTTAAGCCCATCCAGTATTTTAATTATTTTTGACTTTGGTAGCAGCTTCCTTGGTAAACTGCAAAGTATTAAGTACCTCAGCAATGCCCTCTGCCTCTATGCATTGATCCCTATTCAATTGCCCTAACCTATCTTGTACAGCTTTTCACTAATTGAGTCTATAGAAAACTTTTTCTTTGTTTGCATTTTTCTTCTGAAATGTTTTTAAAACTCAACCTGGTTCTCAGTTTGTATTACAGACCTGATTTTCTCTTATGCTTTATCTGCACCTTTGTATCTTTTTTATTTATTTAGAGAGCTATCACTTTCATTTCCCCTATTGAGGAACGTACTTCAATTTTACTTTTTTCTCCTCTTTAAAATGCCCATTTGTTCAGTTACTGTTTTACTTGTCAATCTTGTGTAAGAACATAAATAAGGAAGGGAGACGCTGCTTGAACGTACTCCTGCATTCAATAAAATCATCGCTGAATAGATTGTGACCTTGACGCCACTTTCTAGCTGCCCCATCTCCCCATAATCATTGACTCCCTGGCAGATCAAAAATCTATTTATCATGACTTTCAATAATGTGGCTTTCAATGCTTTCCAGAGCAATGAATACCAAAGATTAAAGTCCCTTTGAGGGAAGGAATTTCTCATTTGAAGTCTTAAATGGGATATTATCTCTTATTTTGGAGCTTTGCCTCATGGTTCTTTATCACTCTCCAAGGCAAAGCAGTTTCTTAGCATCTATCTCGTCAAACTCCCTTGGAATCTTTTACATTTCAGAAAGATCTCCTCTTATCTTATATGATCCATTGTGTTCAGGCTTAACCCGATAAATTTTTCTTCTTAAACTAATACCTTAATCTCAGAATTAACCTAGTGACCCTTCTCTGAGCTGCCTAGAATGCAAGTATATCCCTTGTCTTTTGCTGTAGAGTACCTATGCTGTATAGGAGTTAGTTAGCTGGGCAGCTGGTTTGTGCAGAGTGATGCCAACTGTGGGTTCAAATCCTGCACCAGCTAAGGTTACTATGAAGGATGCTCCTTCTCAACCTCGCTCCTTGCTCAAGATGCGGTGACCCTCTGATTAAACCACCACGAGTCGTGTCTCTCTAATGAGACTGTAGCCCTAAGGTCTTATAGGACTATGGTAACTTTACCATTACCTTACCTACACTGTATAATACCATAATCACTGTACCCTAAAGGTTCCATGACACTTGAATAACTTAACCCATCTTATACCCTGAAGCCAACAAAAAAATTGAAATCAAGGGAAATCCCTCCTCTCCCACTACCCCCTAATTTTCTCCCCTTGTAGAGACAAGTAGTGTCTTGCATTTATTTATGGAGGTGCACATAGACAAAATTGGAATAGAAATCTGGACTGGATTTTTAATTCCTCTGACTGCTTCCTAGCCCAAGTGAATTGTGATTAATTATAGTTCTCCCAACTACTCCCTTAGTTGAAATTGCTAACTTAATACTTTATTATTATCATGGGGCTGGTTAAAGGCATTGCCTGGCTATAGTATTAAACCATGCAGTTTTCAAGTGCATTTTGGCCTCCCTGTTGGTGACTAAGATGCCCTGCAGTTCTTCTAAAGAATATGTTTGCTTTTCATAGAAATAAATTGAGTTGTCCCTTAAATCATTTATCCTGTTGACATTTAGGTATTTGTATCCCAGTGATACTTTGCTCTCTTTCCCAGTGCTCCTGCTAGGAAAAAACGTCTAACGGAGAAGATGCTTGACTGTCTGGTGACTTCAGTGAATGTGTCATGCAGCTCTTGGCCTTACACTTTCAACCCCCAGGAAAGTGGGATATCTGATGTTGCATCCCCTTCTTGGCAGATTGGACCTAGCTCACAGGAATTTAGGGTTATCGAGAATGAAGCAACCTACGTGGATATGAAACCTGATCCGAGCGAAGAAGGATTACAGAAACTGAAGGAGATTGAAAATCGGTAGGAGTCTGAAAAGCAATTTCTCCTGTATGCCAGCGTTGATTTGGGAATGTTATTGGCCTTCAGAACTTGTGTTCCCACCCTCCCCACTTTAGTATATTTTTATCAAGTGGTATAGTTATTTGAGAGGGGATTTAGAAATGATATTTGTGAACTGACCTCCTTGCACAATGAAGGAAATTGCACAAGTAATAACTGACTTGTTTAAACTACTAGTACTATTACCAAATTCCATAACTGTGGTGAAAATATGGGGCAAGGGGTTAGGAACATCTTTATGGGCTTGGAGAAGAAGAAAAGTAGAAAAGTTGGCAAGCTCTTAAAGGTAATGAACCATAGTCTGAACGGGTGATATTTGAGTGTTTATTAGCAATGATTATGCTTTGGCCTGCTATGCATAGTTGAGTTTGATGCCAGGGGTTCTTAGTTTTAAATACAAGTTGACAGCAATTAGTAAAAGGATTAATATTGATTATAAAGCCCATCATGAAACTTCTCTGAAAGTTGTGGGCACCTTGGTCTAGCTTAAGCACCTTCCCTTGTCTGTTCTTTCCAACCAGGGGGCACTGCCCAATGATTTGTGATTTGGAAAATGTTGTGACTTTTGTCTGTGTGAAGTTTGCACATTCTCCCCATGTCTGTGTGGGTTTCTTCCAGGTGCTCCAGTTTCTTTCCACAGTCCAAAGATGTGCAGGTTAGGTGCACTGGCGATGCTAAGTACCCATAGTGTCCAGGGAATATGCAGGCTAAGTGGATTAGCTACTGGAAATGCAAGGTTACTGGGATAGGGTAGGGTGTGGGTCTGGGTGGGATGTTCTTCAGAGGGTTAATGTGGATTTGATGGGCTGAATGGCCTGCTTCCACACTATGGATTCTATGATTCTATGAAGGATCTGAAAGCAAATTGTTAAGTAAAATGGCCAAATGTGCTTTCTGAGGGGAACAAGGTAGTGATCTTGGTGACCCAAGGAAATTCACTGCATTAGGAGCTGGTAAGATTGATTGTGGGGATGTGCCAAATATTGCCCACTTCGGTATGTTAATAAATGAAATATTATAGGCTCATAAATAGAGCATGGAAGTGAGAGTAACATGATGAGCCACAAGAAGTATATGTAGTCCTGAGCCTTTTTAATAACTTAGCAAGGCGTTGTTCTCAGTGTAGCATCAAATCATTTCCATCCAGTTAGTACAGTACTTGATGGTAATTAAGTTACTGATTTCAAACAGGTGTTGCCAAATTTGAAATTGAATTCAAAATGTTTAGTACCATAAACTTTATTTCAGAAGCTACAAGTTTTCTGATCTCCATTCTCCTAGAAGTTGTGAATGCTGCAGCGTTGCAAGTAGACAAAGGAAAGTTACATATTTGCACTGAAGCTATGTCTTTTTTGAAAAGGATTCAGTGAGAATTCTTGTTCTTTCCTTGAATAATCTCAATATTATTCTGCTTCCCAGGCTTGTTGAGGGAGACGATCCAGAAGGTGATGGAATTGAGGTTTCAGACATGCCAGTGTTAGTTTTGTCTGATTCTCTACGAGAAGAACTGAGGCCTGGCCTGGAAGAAATTTTGCCTCGTAGAATAATGGAATCCCTGTAAGTGTGATTTCACCCCTGCAAGTGTCACCTTCTTCTGAAGGTGGGGAAATCTATAGTTGGGAATGTCTGTTTTCTTTCCCCCCATTTTTCCTCACAGGAATAATGCAGTTACATCAGCCCATCTGTTTACTTCATGCTAGCTATTTGGGTAAAGGTTTAGGTGGGTTCTCAATCTAATCTACAGGTTTTCCCTCCCCGAGTGAGGTGTGTCTGGACCTTTCCATATAACAAAGGATGGCAGGTATAATGAAAAGAAAGAAAAGAAATATGCAGGATGCTTGACCGTTGCCTTTTTAAGAAGCTGAATTAAGATGGAATTAAAGGTTTACTCTGGGGGGTAACCCATACTTTGCTTTCTTTAAACAAGCAATGTTTTTTAGGGGAGGCAATGGCCTAGTGGTATTATTGCTAGACTATTAATCCAGAGACCCAGATAATATTCTGGGGACCTGGGTTCTTATCCCACCACGGCAAATAGTGGAATTTGAATTCAATAAAATATCTGGAATTAAGAATCTAATGATAACCATGAATCGATTGTCAGGGGAAAATTCACTAATGTCCTTTAGGTAAGGAAACTGCCATCCTTACCTGGTCTGGCTTATATGTGACTCCAGACCCACAGCAATATGGTTGACTCTCAACTGCCCCATGGGCAATAAATGCTGCCTAGCCAGCGACGCCCTGATCCCATTAATGAATAAAGGAAATAAAATCAAAATCTAATTTATTAATGTAATATGAAGGGTTAAATATTTTGGCACTCAAGGTTGCGGGGTGGAGAGAGAAAGGTTGAATTCGCTCGAACAGCGGATAACTAAGAAGCGGACTTTTATCTGCACTCAGTGTGGAATGAGAATTATGCTCTGTGTACCATTACTGAATGATGATGATTGGCTGGGAATTGCAACTCTTTAGACTGAGAAAAGTATTTAATTCTGTTTGTTCTACAAGTTGTCTTTTGTATCCATGTTTTCCTGAGTGAACAATTTAGTGAACAAATCTGTCTGAACTTTCACCCTCTTCATCACTAAGGAAATGGTGATCAGTCTTCAGTTTGTCAAAGCAAAATCAGGCAAGAACAGAAGTGTGACTGAATTCTGTTAGTCTGCCTTGGCAACATGATATTTGATTAATCCTCCTTTTAAAAGAAGAAATGTTTTCCAAAGCATTTGTGAGTGAGGCTTTTACTTTCTGTAGTTTTCAGTCTTCAATTTAAGTATGCTAAAAGGATCAGTGCCCCACTCACCACATTCTAACTGAGTCACTAAATGTTATGATTGGCATTTCACATTATCACATTCTGACAATCATGTTTTTCTGCACTTTTTCTGTTAAAGGAAATTTTGAGATTTAACAAAGAACCATCTTTTTATTATATTTTTAATGTGGTTGTTGTAACAGTTCCTGTTTCCTTCATCTAGTGTCAGTACAAAACTCTGTTCAGAAATATGTGTGGCTTGATGGTTATTTTTGCTTTTGTCTTTTGTACCAGCTCCAAAGTGGATGACCTCTGGTTGATGTTGTAGATTTATGTTGCCTGCCAACCATGAAATAGAATTTGTCCTCCAGTCACTAATTTATTATTCTGTGAAACAATTTGTAAAGCAGTGGAACAAACTTTTATACACCATATCTGCATTTTTATCTCTTGAAATTGCAGGATATTGAGGCTTTGCTTGTAGATGATACAAGTTTTGTATTAGATGAAGCCATTTCACAATTTCATGTGTGCTCTAGGTAGACCCACAATGCCATAAGGAAGGGAGTTTCTTGATTTTGACCCACCAACACTAAAGCAACATTTTCCAGTCAGGATGATTGGCTTAGAGGAAAATTTGTGGGTGCTGGTTCCATGTATTTGCAGCCGTTGTCCTAGATGGAACTGATTTGTGGGTTTGGAAGCAGTTCTTTTAAGGCATGTCAGTGAATTCCTGTAGTGCATCTTGCAGATGGAATGCACAGCTGCTACTGAGCATCGCTAGTGGAAGGAGTGAAAGTGGTGCCAGTCAAGGGAGCTGGTTTATTTTGTATGGTGTTAAGGTTCTTGAGTGTTATTGGAACTGCAGTCATCCAGGCAAGAGGGGATTATTCCATCGCACTCCTGACCATCGCACTCCTGACTTGTGCCTTAGGATGTTGGGTGGTGAGTTACTCGCTGCAGTGTTCCTTGCCTCTGAAATAAAGCAAAGAACTGCAGATGCTGGAGATCTGCAATAAAAACAGAAATTGCTGGTGAGACTCAACAGATCTGACAGCATCTGTGGGAAGAAAGCAGAGTTAATGTTTCAAGTCCAGTGACTCTTCATCAGAACTAACTGCTTTCTTCCACAAATGCTGTCAGACCTGCTGAGTTTCACCAGCAATTCCTGTTTTGGTTCCTAGCCTTTGACTTGTTCTCATCATCACAGCATTTGCATGGTTAGTACATTTTGGTTTCTGTTCACATGTGTCTTGATTGTGGGGATTTCAGTGGTGGTAATGCTATTGAATGTCAAGGGACGATGGTTAGATTCTCTCTTTTTGGAAATGGTTATTGTCTGGCATTTGTGTGGCATGAATATTACTTGCTGCCTTTCACCCCAAGTCTAGATATTGTCCAGGTCATGCTGCAATTGAATATGATCTGCTTCGGTATTTGAGGAGTTGAGAATGATGACTGCACAACATACAGAATCAGTGAACATCTGCACTTCTGATCTTAGGATGGAAGGAGTGTTATTGATGAAGTAGCTGAAGATGGTTGGACCTAAAATACTCCTCTGAGGAGCTCCTGCAGTGAGCCTCCCCCACCCCCAATTACCATTGACTGCATTTTTGTCAGGGCTCCTTGATGCCACACTGGGTGAAATTTGGTCTTGATGTCAAGGGCAGTCACTGTCATCTTGCTTCTAGAATTGAGCTCTTTGGACCATATTTGAAACCAGTTTGTAATAAGATCAGGAGCTGAGTGGCCCTGGCAGAACCCAAACTCTGCGTCACTGAGCAAGTATTTCTAAGCAAGTACCGCTAGCAATGCTGATGACTCTTTACATCACTTTACTGATGATTGAGAGTAGTTTGGCGGGCGGTATTTGGCCTGTTCGAATTTTTCTGTTTTTTTTTGTGTACAGGACATACCTGGGCAATTTCCCACATTTCCAAGTAGATGCCAATGCAGCTGTACTGCAACAGCTTGGCTAGCTATGCAAGAAGTTCTGGAGCACAAGACTTCAGTTCTATTGCTGGAATATTGTCAGGGCCCATAGTCTTAGTATTGTCTAGTACCTTATGCCACTTCATGATACTCCGCGCGATGAGTTGAAGTGGCTGAAGACTGGTACCAATGATGTTCGGGACCTCTGGACCATCCAGTTTGTACTTCTGGTTTGAAGATTGCTGTGAATGCTTCAGTCTTAGATTTAGCACAGGTGTGCTGCGCTCCCCCATCATTTGAAGATGAGGATATTTGTGGTACTTGCTCCTCCAGTGGGTTGTTTAAATGCCCACCACCATTCATAACTGGATGTGGCAGGTCTGCCGATCTGATCCATTAGTTGTAGAATTGCTTAGCTCTGTCACCAGTTGCATATGCTCACCGGCAAGGAAGTAGTCTTGTTTTGTGGCTTTGCTAGGTTGATAGCTCAATTTTAGGTATGCCTGGTGCTGCTCCTGGCATGCCCCCTCCTGCACCTTCATTGAACCATAGAGCTGAATTCCAGAGGCAGTATTGGTAGAGTGGGGGAAATACTGGGCCATGAGATGAAGGTTGTGTTATAGTCTGTTTTTCTTGCTGCTGATGGCTCACATCACTTCATGGATGCTGAGTTGAGTTGCTTGATCTAATCTAAGTTTGTCCTATTTAGCACAGTGATAGTACCACACAACACGATGCAAGGTATTCTCAATGTCAAGACTGGACTTCACCACTCAGTCCTTAAAGAGATGGCCACTCCTACCAATACTATCATGGACATCTGCAGCAGGCAGATTGGTGAGGCTATGTCAAGTATGTTCTTTTCTTCTTACCTGCTGCAAACCCAGTCTAGCAGCAAAACACAGTTTGTAGTTGACAGGATAGATTATACTGAGCCATTGGACATTGAAATCTCCCACCTAAAGTACGTTCTGCACCGTTGCCACTCTGTGCTTCTTCCAACTGGTGTTCTAAATGGAGGGGTATTGAAGTGGGGGTTATATGTGGTGGTCAGCAGGAATTTTATTTACCTATGTTTGACCTTGTGGCACGAGAATTCATGGTGTCCAGAGTCAACATTGAGGACTTTTCGGGCAGCTTCTTCCTGGCTGTTTACCACTTGCAGCCAATGGAGATGGCAGCAATGTCCTAACACACTAGTATGGATGGTGTTGTCTTGGACATTATCTGTAAGATATGATGCCATGATTATGACTAGGTCAGGTTGTTGCGTGACTAGTCTGTGAGACAGTCTCCCAATTTTGGCAGTCTTCCCCAGATGTCAGTAAGGAGGACTTTGCAGGGTTGACACACTGTGGTCACCATTGTCATGTTCTCTACCTGGGTTGATGCCTGATGATCTATCAAGATTTTTTTTAAAAGATTTCTAGCAATTGTTGTAAACTGAGTGAAATGGTCTAGCAAGCCTGAGGGCAGGTAAGAGTCACCCACATTGCTATGGGTCTGGAGCTAGAACAGGTAAGGACAGCAGTTTCCTTCACTAAAATAAATTACCAGACATGCTGTGGTGGAATTTGAACCTGGGGCTCTGGATTAATAGTCTAGCAATAATACCATCAGGCCAAAACCTCCCTCCTTTGTACATGCTGTTGGATGTCTTGTGGTGCAGTGGTAGCTTGAGTCAGAAGCTCTGGATTTCAGTTCCACTGCAGGACTTCATAGCCAAGGAAGATGTGTTCATAATGTAGTCCGAGTTCTGGCATTAACCTGTAAATCCTTCCAACACAGGCCAGAGGCAGGCATTACGTGTGGTGAGACTCCTAGTCAGTCAGATGATAGAAGGAAAGTTGCAGCTTCTACCATCATTGTCCATAGCTCCAAACAACATGAATGTAAAGATACACGTTATCAAGGCAACTCAGACACTCTAAGTGAACTGTAACATACTACCATCACCCCATATTTTTGTGATGCAGATATGGAATTGATAAAACTCCAAAGCACGTAAGCATTGTTAAATGTAACCTTGGGCATCCGTATGTATGGTATAAGAGATGTCTGGCATGGAAACAGATCCTTTGGTCTAACTTGTCTATGCCAACCAGATATTCTCAACTAATCTAGTCCCATTTGCCAGCATTTGGCCCATATCCCTCTAAACCCTTCCTATTCATGTACCCATCCAGATGCCTTTCAAAAGTTGTAATTGTACCAGCCTCCATCACTTCCTCTGGCAGCTCATTCCATACACACACCACCCTGCGTGAAAAAGTTGCTTCCTCAGATCCCTTTTAAATCTTTCCCGTCTCATCTTAAACTAATACCCTCTAGTTTTGGACTCCCCCACCCTGGGGAAAAGACATTAACTATTCACTCTGTCCATGTTGTATCACATAGAAATCTCTTGCTGCTTTGGAAATTGCTTGGTAGGAATAATAGCTCATTTTGTGTATATTTCACAACATTGAGTGTAGAGTCAGATTGTCACAATGACTGGACTCTTGCATAATATGTTTTATTTAATTGGAACTGTCTAAACAAAAGTGAAAGTGAGACTGAAGCTTGCCCTTTCCGTTTTTGTACTGTTATTTGAGAACAACAACAACTGGCATCAGTAGTATGTCACAAATTCATTTTTCTGGTTGTAGTTCTATATGTAAGCTCTAAGTATCATCAGGAATGAGTAGATCAGTATAAAAACTGTGATTAAACTGAACACAGATCTTGTTTGGTTTGTTTTGAATTTAAAGACGCAAGTTGTCCCAGAGGCCTCTAATTATGTGCTCTTCTGTATCTTCTTAGGAATCGCCCATGTATGGAGCTTGTTTTGTGGAGACCCCCATGTGAGCCACTTTCAGATAAACTTGCAGCTTTAACAGAGCAAAGAAACTCCAAACATAGGCAGCCACAGTGCAACCCTGATGTGTACAACAAGAGCCCAAAATTGGATTCATCCTTAATGTGCGGTGATATGAATCTAGCCAACACATCTGAAGAAGACATGGAGCTTTAGAAACAACTTGCAGGACAGACGTGTGGGGTAAAAGCATTCTGACTTGCAAAGACTCTCCATGGGAAGGTGTGGAGTATTTTCTGTTCAAGTTTTAAAAACTTTTAAAAATGACATTTTGGAAGTTTTGATGCCCCCACTGTTCTTGCATAAACCAAATTCTGAACATTGCTGCAGTTTTGTACAGTTTCTGTGTAATGACTGCATATGGGGTAGCCTTTCTATTTTTGTAAGCCTGTTCCTATTGCAGTCAATTGGTCTAAGCTGTGAAGTAACTAATCACAGTCCAATATCATTTCTTTTTAACAACTGATGTGCTTGGGGCAGTAAGTACTCTAATTTATAATGCACCCAAGATGCTAATTGTTTTTGTTTCTATTTAAATAGATGGTAAGGTAGGAAATTGGGAAAAGCTTTCCAAGAGTTGTGCATGAGATTTGTAGAGTGTATGGATATACATGGAAGGTATTTTGGACTGTTCTTAAATGTTGAATGTAAATGTTTTACGAGTGACCTGTCCCTTGCTAGTCATGAACCCATGATAAACGATAGGTTTTCCTATGCTGTCTCTGACAAACGGGATAAAAATGCTACGGAGAATCTTAATTGGAGTAAATGCAAAAGAATATCATTTTTGTAATTCGGTCTCATTTGTGCAAGCATGTCTTGGTAAACCTGTTACTTTTGAACCTATTTCTTACAGCAGCTGTGGGAAACCTGCATATCGCTTACTGCTTGAAGAATATCCTCATTTTTATCCCAGCAAATGAAAACGGTAGCCTAATTTAATTGACTAGGACTTGCTTGTTAACATTTCTTTTAGAAAGTTTAGCATTGTAGACACCGGTATTTACAGACCTATTGGTGAGGGGTTGCTTTCCTTGTAAAGCTGAATTTACTGGTCTTACAAACCAATACGTGGATTTTTTTTTTGTTTTGTATTGTGTTTCTAGGAAAAGGGGGGCAGAGGGCTGTTTGCAGCTTTTAAGCTTGTTTTGACATTCAGTTGATCATGGCTGATCTGTTCTCACCTTCATTCAAATATTCGAATCTGTTTCATTTTTTTTGGTTCAAAGCAAATGCTTGTCTCTTTCGGGAACAGTCTTTACAGCTTTGAAATTAACCTAGGATTTGGTTGCCTGTTTGAATGTAGGATAAAAGTATTGATGTGTTGGAGTATTGGAGTCGAGACTGCGGACCACGGAGAAAGGAGATTGTTGAGCAGGCTAACACAATGGCTGCCAACTGATATTTAGGTGTTTAGATTACAAGGTGTAAAGCTGGCAATCACCTACTCTAATAGCAGTTTGGGGGGACACTAGCACAAGTATTAGGCCTTTACAGTTTCTAACTATTTCCTAATTTAACTTCAGTGTCACCATGTAGAACCCTGTGTACAACTATTAAAATGGTTGAAGTGAAGTGCCAAGATGTTAACAAATATCAGAATCTTAAAATAACATATGAAGCGATGACCAAAACACTGCACATCAAATGCAGTCAACCAAGGTTTGTCATAAATTTTAGCATAACCTCTTTGCTTTTCATTTTTCTCCTAGATTTGAGCTCTTATGCTTTTTCTGAGATCTTACAAATCTGGCTGTAACTTTCACTGATTTCAGTATTTCTACAAAGATCCTTTTACAGTACTCTGTTTTGATCCCGATTTTCAAATAATATGACCTCTTTTCCAAAATGTAAGACGTTACACTTTGAAATGAATTTGCTAATTAAATACTATTCTGCAATGTTTTTATTGTTTTGAAATGACTTATTTTCGGAAATGACTATCTCTTTGAACATCACCAAGATGTGATTAACTTAACAGATTTCAAATTTTGGTTCCAAAGATTAAATTGTTAATTTTAAATAAGTAATTCCAGCTCTGATCCTTGCGGAATTCCACTTCTTTTGATAATCTACAACTCTGAGGAGCTGTCTTTTACTGCTGCACCCTTCTTACTGTCTTGAAGCTAGATAACTAACCACTCTTCTAGTGCATCTTGATTCCTTGTGATCTATATTGATTTAGTCTATTATGTGGCACTTCAAAAAAGGCTGTTTGAAAAACTGGATATATTGTATTAACATTGTGTACCCTGTCATGTTTTCAAATAATTTAATGAGGTTGGGGAATTTTCTATCTTGCTTCTGGAATATAATTATAATGTCAGCTGTCCAGTCTTCTGAAAAAAAGATACATTTATTTAATGTGCAATAGTGCATTGACTATCTCATCAGTTTTTAACATAGTTATAATCGATCCAGATTTGGTTTTATCACCTTTTGACTGGTTAGTTTGTTTCCTGTTACTTGAAATGCAGTTATATTGTTTCTACGCTTCTCTTGATGTCATGACACCAGATCTGTCCCCTTTCTGAATGTTGAAGTAATCCACATTCCTCTCAAAGTATTATCATTATCTCCTGAATTTATCTTGTCCATCCTCCAGTGAACCTATTCCCATCCTGACATTTTATTTTCATTTATTTGTGCATAAACATTTTACTGTTCTGCTTTAATTTAGTAGCTGTTCTTTGCTTTCCTAATTTGTTCATTTAATTCCTCTAAGGGAAAATATGAAGATATTATGTTGTCTCCTGCTTTACAACAAGAATTAACCTGATAAAATAACAACTCCTTACAGAATATCTTGGATACAACTCCCACCTTTTGAGTGACCAAGAAATTAAATAGGATAGGTAAACTTTTGTAAATATGAAGCATGATGGCTATCAAAGACTTATTTTGATACTAAATTGATACAGCTCCCAGCTGCACAAGTTGAGGTGCATTTATTTGTAGCTTTGTAATTGGATATTATTGGTAGTTTTGTAGAAATGAGAAATTCAGCATTTTTGGAAAGTTTTTATATAGCTTGAAAGTGATTGCTCTTTCATTTAACAATGCAAAATCTGGCAGAAGCAGTTGTTGAACAGGACAAATTGTTTACTTGCCATGAAATGGCTCATCTAATTGGTAAAAAGCAGCATTCTCATGTAGCTGACTTCAAGTTTAACATGTTAGCGAAATACCTATAACAAACGATCTTGAGAAATTACTACGTTCTCCATGATCACTGCAGAATTTTTGAAGTAGACTTCTTTCCAATGTTTGTACTTGTAAATGCCTGTTAATATTCACAGCTCTTGAAATTCTCCAGGTTTATGAACGGGTGACTGGATTTCCACATAGTTAATTCTTCCTGTGTGTTTTTTTTTTAAATTTAACCTCAAGATCTGTCAGTAAATTACCAATATGCCAAAAGGTGCCAATTGGTTTAATTTTAAATAATTAATTGAAATTTGGCATTTAGTGAAGCTGATACTTAATGTATGGGTCAATATTTGTGAAAGGATGAACTATACCGAGGTTTTGATGAAATGCTGCCATTAGGCAGCGCCCAATTATCTTAAAAGTGCGCCATTGTATATAGTGTTTTGATTCTATTTATTCTGTGCTGTACACTGGGTTTCTTTAGAGTTAAGAACCGTAATGTACAGAGACTTTATCTTCATGGTTACTCTTTGCCTGATTTTTAATACTGATTAAACTGCCTATAATTGCTCTCCAATTTAATTGTACACTAGTGTCTGTCTTCTGGCCCAGGCAGAGATAGTATGTAACTAAGATGTTCCTTCTTGATATTTAGCGATTGCTATTACAAAAATTGGCATTAATACAAGCTCTATCAGAGTGAGGTGTGTATGATTAATATAAAAACTACCCATATAAAGACATCAAAATTGCAGAATTAACTCATTGTGTACACTGCATCCAGCCTGAATCTGCCAAATTCCTGTTTTGGCTTAACCACCCAGTCTTCAGCCAGTCTTGGAACAAAATGTAACACAACCTGTTTCACTAAATATGTGTCTACCTTGGAAATTCCATTTAAATATCATTTTCAGGTGAACGTTTTATATTTAAATGTATATGCACATATTGAATGCAATTTAAATTATTACATCAGATTTTGAGCGTGATTTCAGTTTAATAGCACTATTGCTTACGGACTTCAAAATTTGTATATATTATGTAAACAGCCTTTTCAAATAGAAAATATGTTTGACACTCAGCCACATGAGAGATTGTGAGAGGTCAGCAAAAGCTCTGTCAAGGAGCTGTTTTGAAGAACCATCTTGGTAAGAGGGGGGAGGATTGAAAGAGAAATTTAGAATAGAAATGACAGAACTTGGAACCCAAGGAGCTGAACACAAAGCAAAAGGCATAATCTCAGGTTTTACGGCAATATTTATCAAGAATTGGAGGAGTACAAAGATCATTGAATGGTGGAATGCTGGACGAAGCATAGTTCAGAATTGCATAGGTTATAGAGGAAGTGGAGAGGTTATATTTTAAATCAAATAAGACTTGATGCATGTAAGGATATGGGCAGCCGAGCTTTGGATGGGGAAAAGAAGACGGAATGGAGGCTTGACTGGCAAACGTTCAAGCAGTTACATCTAGAGGTAACAAAAGCATAAATGAGTCCAGCAGCAAAATCAAGAATAAGATGGGCATTATTACAAGATACCTTGTGAACTTGATGCTTGACAACTGCTTTACGGGATAATATCTAAAATTACCATTATTGTCATGCAGTTGTACATTTATAAGTCAGTTGTACCTCACTTTCTAGCGTGGGATTCTGGCTTTGAGTTATAGTTGAGCCCCAGTAAATATTCTGAATCAACTAATGGGGAGACAGAAGGAAGTCCACCTATCAAACAACACCCATCTGTGAATCTCACAAATACGAAATGACTCTTCACATGAAAGGCGCACACTGGTTATGATTTGTTTCTCATAATTCACAAAGCTACATGCATCCAGTGGTATCATCTGCCATGGATAACCTGTAATATATCACTGGACATATCACTAAGCTATGATTTGATGATCCCTTTTTCCCTATGCAACAAAAATAGTGTGAATGTCAGTTAAGAGAAAGTCCTCTCCACCAAAGCAAGCACCTTTTTACAAGGAGCTGTTGATGCCATGGACTTTTTTCTGTCTAGTTCCTTTGGGGAAATGCATTAATTCCATTTTGGCAAAAATTGGAGAAAATTGCTAATATTTCTGAAGCAGCTCATTTAATGAGTATTTCATTTACTGGACTGAATTGAAATTCTGGAGCTAGTCTATGATTTCTTGATCCCAAGCTCCATATATTTTAAGTGCCTGTGGAGAGAAAGCAGAGTTAATGTTTTGGGTCCAGTGACCCTCCTTCCGAACTTGCATTTTTACAAGGCAGTTTTCATACTGTCAGAGGTCTCAAAGTGCTTTACACATCAAAAACCACTTTATTGGTTGTAGTTAGTATTGTAATGCAACTAATTTTTACTTGGCAAACTCTCAGAAATATTAATCACAATGACTAGATACTGATGTTTGGGAATTGTAGGTGAACCCCTTTCAAGAGACCAAACCCAGATAATTTTCTCTTTCAGACATTCTAACAAAACACCTCCCTCCCTAGGCGGTGTCATTTGACATGTCATATTTTTCTGTCCGGTATTAGTCCAAATCTGTCATCTTATTGTGGAAGCTCACTAATATTTAGAATAAGTCCCTCTCAACTGCTGTCTAAACAAACTCTCAGTCTCCTGGTTTAATCAGCTTATGATAGGTCTCCTGACTCTCCAAACATTTCCTTCAACTAAGCAAAGTGTTAACAGTCTCAATTCATAAGGTTAAGTTATTTGGCAAATTATAAAAAAACTGAAGACAAACAATTTGCCAGGACCTGATGATCTGCCACCAAAGATTTTAAAGGAAGTGGTTGCTGAGGAGTGGAACCATTTGTCAAAATATTTGAGAACTCCTTGGCTTCTGGGAGGGTTTTAGCAGATCAGCAGTTTTTTAACATGAGGCTCCTGCCCAAGAAGGCAGGGGGACAGAAAGCAGGAAATTAATACTTGTCATTAGGAAAATGCTAGAGTCCATCATTAAGGTAGAAATGACAGGACCTTTATAAAATGCAATCAGTTAACATCATTTTATGAAATGGAAATCATATTTGAAAAACTTGCTAGAGTTCTTTAAGGATGGAACAAGTAGAGAGTTGATAAGGGAGTTTGCAGATATGGTGCATTTCCAGAAGGCACATAAAATGCCACATTAAAAAGGTTGTTTCACAAGCTCTCAGGGTATTGGGGGATAATGGATTATGGATTGCTTTGCACAAAGAAACAGGGCTAAATGGTCATTGTTCTAAATCAAGATGTAACTAGTGGAGTGCTACAAAGATCGGTCATAGGGCCTTGAGTATCCATTGTACCACAAGATACCTTGTGTTCATATGTACAATGGCTAGCAGAAACCCACAAACAAAAGATATTCAACTAGCAGTGACACATTCAACTAGCACAGTGCCCTACAAATGACCCATCTGAGAGTTGGCAACAACATTTCAACACATTATATAGCCAGCACAGGAGTGTGTCAGTCTGGACTTGGCATTAGAATTCTCAACTCCAAGATTCAGTGTTAATCCCATTTAAATTTGGAGAACATTCATAAAACAAGCAGTACAATCAAGGTTGAATGACCATAGGTTTGCCAGATTATAGGGCTGTTTCACTGGGTAGAGACAACTGGATATTTAATCTGAGGGCCATCATATCTCAGGCACGGGGAGACGGTGAGAAGAGTCCTTCATGATAACCTCAGCCAGTGATGGGCATCACACTGCGAACCAGCTGTCTAGCAAACTGACCCTCTCCAAGCAGTACTAGATTAGTACAATAAATCTGTTGCAGTTTTGTTTTTATACCAGTAGATGGTGCTTTTACTTAGCATTCCAGCAGGTAGCACTCTCAAACCTATGTTTTCATTGGATTATCACTAATAGTTCCATTGGCCTTAAAAATCACCCTGTAGACTTACAGCCACCCTTTTTTTTGTGTTTGTTTGAATCTCTCTGATGGAGGTGAAATTTATTCCAGAGTTATGAAGATGTGTGATTTGCCAAAAATGGTTATAGCGCAGATTGTAGAATGGTTATTTAGTCTGTTGATCTCAAGTAGTATGTTCCACATTCTAACATGTTGCATCAAAAAGTTTATTTTTATGCTACTGTTGATTCATTCTGTAATTAGCTCAAACTGGTATCCTCTGGTTCTTGACTCTTGCACCAGGAGGAATAGTTCCTCTTTGTTTACTGTCCACACCGATCATGATTTTGAATACCTCTGTTAAATTTCCAATTATCATCAAAGAAAAGCCCCTTCTCTGATTTTGACATAACTTTCACGTCCCTGAAATCGTCTTTGTAAATCTTTCCTTCATCTCAAGTTTTCACATCCATACTAAAGTAGTGTGCATTTTCTGGAGACAATTTCAACTGAGGCCAAACCAGTCTTTTATGAAACTTCCTTGCTTTCCCTGCCTGTTTATTATGACACATGCCTTTTAAGCACTTTGCAGGTTGCAGGGCACATTGGGAATGATTTCCATACGTATACCCCAGGTCTCTCCCATTCATTTAGAATTGTCCCCTTTCTATTGTATCTCTTTGTTCTTCCTAATAAAATGCATTATTGCACACTTTAATCTTAATTTCCCAAGTGCCTGCCCATTCATGTTGTCTATGTCCTCTTGAAATCCATCACTTTCCTCCTCAGTTCACAATACATCCAAGATTTGTTTCACCTGCAAATTTTCTGTTTTCTGTCACACAATCAACTTTGTATCACTTTCCTTTTTATTCCATGGACTTCAAAGCCACAATTTGGCTCATTTATAAATTTCCTTTTGAAAGACCATGTACATATGTTAGCAGAATTTCCCTCATTAATACCTTCTATCTCACCAAAAAATTCAACCAAAATTTGTTTTTAATTTGGCTTCCCCTAATGCACACCTGTCCAAGTGACAATTTTGTCCTGGATTGATACATTATTATCTTCACCAGCAATGCTTTAGTAATTGTTCACATGCGTAGCAGGATTACCAATGAGGAAATTTGTACTCTACCAATTGTTCATTTCCCCATTCGAAAGTTTTCTTCAAGGTAAAAGGATTGAAATGATTGTGCAAACAAGCTAGGTAAATGACACTTTTACAGAGACGCTGGATGGCAAAATTGCAAGCTTCTGTTTTTACCCCAACTATTCTGGCAACTTAATGTTTAAGCAGTTGTCTTACTTACCTCCTCACACTTCATATATAAAAATCCTTTTATTCCCATCTTTGTTTTGCCCCACAAAATACGCACTGGTTTCCTCTTTCAGGTGTCACACTGAGCAACTCTCATTTCTGGTGATTTCACTATCAGCCATGATTGAATGATGGAGCAGACTTGGTGAGCTGAATTGCCTAATTCTGCTCCTATATCTTATGGACCAATGGTAAATCTCCATCTCGGCTCACCTTTATCCTCAGTTCTCCAACTCCCTTGTTCTCTCCCTCCTATAAGCTCTCCTACACGTTTCATGGCTGTCTTGCTACCTATAGTAACTTTGCTATTTCCATTGTCTCAATCACAATCCGCCTCTTCCCTGCATCTCTCTCACTCCCTTCATTGTCTGCACTCCTTAGGCTTTCAACTTCTTTTCAGCCACTGGTATCAAAAACATTAGTACTCAGAGCCACAATCCCACTTGGCACTGCCCATATCCCATTCCTGGTCAGCGCTTCCCATATCCTTATCGTGTACTCATCCAATTTAAAACTTGTGTCAGTAACTTTATCATACGGTAAGTGGTCAAATCAGTTTCAGAGCTTCAGTTAATACAAATGTAAGGTTTTCTCAGCAGCAACATTCTTTTTGTCCAAAGAATAAAGAACACTATTTAACAGAAAAGCAAAGTGTAAAGGGTATTAGTTATCTTTTTTTCTCTGCTTAAAAAAACCTCAGTAAAATTCCATACGTTGTTATACAAATACAATAGAATAATGTAGCAAGATAGATTTAATCATTCTCCCTCAATTTAGTTGGAGGTATGTAGATTTAGGAAGAAGGGGTTGTAGGAAGGAGGTATTTGAACAGCAAAATCAAATACTAATGTGGGACATCATACGTTTTACATTAGTCCAAGTTTAATTCTTCTAGGAATACTAAACACACACAATCAGCACCATCCATACAGTAACATTGCATTGGCCTTTTGGTTGGACACTCAGAACTGTGTATAATCAAGCCATGACATAATCCAGTTTCTCAAAGCATGATTATGCTGAGCTGCAGTTGTCTGCTCACCAATACTGAGAGAGCCCTCTGAAATAAGCTGTGAGATCTCATTCTACTGTGGTTTGCTGTGTGGTCTCCATTTGTGGAAGGGGTGGCCAAGCATACATCTCGAATGATTTTTCAAATGCCACTTACTGCTTTCCTCTCCCACAAAGCACATGAAAAATCTTTCTGGTATTACCTGACTCTGGGGAGGAGGGGTGACAATGTAAAGGGTTTATTTCTTATCAACAGAATGGACAGATTGTCCAGTGACTTATCAGTCAATCCTTCACCAGTGATTGCTGGCTTCCAAGTACATGCAGCATTGACATTGAGCATGACTGGCAATATTTAAATAGGAGCTTGACCCATAGTTTCCAACAAGTTAGTCCTGCTGCACCAACATCATCGCCAGAGAAGCAACTCCTACTCTCTAGGCCAGCCCCCGAGTCAGTGCAGAATCCTGCACATAATTTTTCCCTAATTAAACTTCCTGTCTGTCACTATTTCTCTGCCAGTCCTGTAACTGCATTGATCTGCTCAGTGAACTACTCATTGTCTCTGTGCATGAGCTGTCAGTCGTGGTATGGAGAATGCTCACATCGTTCAGGCTGGTTCCACAGTAGATGTTGTTTTCTGCTCGGAGCTGTTTCACACGGCTCTGCAAATGTTTCAGCAGCTTCAGTGTCCCAAAATCCTTCTGCCTGCATGAGATCACTGCAGAGGAAGTTACTGATGTGGTGGAGGCAGACCATGAAGGAGAAGGTTCAGTGTGTTCCTTTAAGGGAATACAAAGTGGAATAATCTGTTATTCGAATCAGTATAATTTGATTCAAATATAGGACATTTGTGAACCTATATCAAGATCAATGTGTGTCTGAGCCAGGGAACACTCATTTTTTGTTGTTCATTCATTGGAATAGTGCATTGCTGACTGGGCTAGCATTTATTTCCTATTCCTAATTGCACTGGAGAGGGTGGTGGTGAGTTGCCTTCTTGAACTGCTGTGGTCTTTGGGATGTAGGGACACCCACAGTGCTTGTTAGGAAGGGAGTTCCAGGATATTAACCCAGTGATGGAGGTCATGGGAGCAGGTGAAGAAGTTAGATCTAGGACACTACCCTGAGGAACTCCTGCTTTGAGCGTGCCTCTTTTGGTTTTGTTTTCCCTTTGGAAGGGGTAGAGTTTTAAGTTGCATTGTAATAGAAAATAATCCTCTTTTCTGTTCCATTTGTTAAAGTTAATTATTTTATTAGTGTTTTTTGTTCATAATGAAGCCTGGTGTTTCAGACAAGTTGGCCTCTAAACTGCTTCAGGATGGTTTGTGGAATGTTGGGACGTGGTTATCAGCAATCAGCAACCCAGTTAAGTCATCAGAGTTGGAAGAGTCAGTAGGGGTTTAAAACAAAAGACTTGAATGATGTTTCAGCATCTGAGATAAAATCAGATGTTATTGTAGGGGCTAAGATAGCTGTCCTTAGTGATGACACAAATTGGAGGTTGGAAACTCCTCTCAGGGTCAATGTGACACCAAGGTTGTGACACCAAGGTTATGAACAGCCAGGCTTAATCTCTGCCTCACTTTCTCAATGATCTAAGTTAATGATTTGACATTTGGATCTGCCTGCAAAAACAATTGCATTGTACTTAACAGTATTTAGTTAGAGGAAATTTCTGTTCAGCTTGTACTGAATTTCAGATAAACAATCTGATAATTTAGCAATAATAGAGATGTTGAGAAAGACAATGGTGCGTTAGGGCTGGTGTGATTGGTAAATCTGAAAACTAACTGTTTGCTTTTGGATGATGTTGCCAAGGGTCTACAAGTAGATTGAATAAAACTGGAGGAAGATCAAGGATAGATCCTGCAGAATGCCAAGGTAATGATGCAGGAACAAGAGAACCTGACTGATGAAACCGATTAGAATTTGGACCAGGTAAAAGCAGTCCCACCCAGCTGGATGATTAGAGGTAGTGCAGGAAATGGTGTGGTTAGCCATATCAAAGGCTGTAAACAAGTCAAAAAGGACAAAGAGCTATAGCCACGCATAATGTCCCATGTGACTGTCAGAAAGATAAATTTTGATGAGAGCTGTTTTGGTCCTGTTGTAGGGATGGAAACCAAATTCAAAGATGGAGTTTGACAAAGATGGGAACAGATTTGGGAGGTGTCAATAACTTTGGAGAGAAAAGTATGCAATTTTGCAAGGGTGAAGGGATCCATGTTGTTTTGAGGATAGGATGGATGATGATGGTGGATTTCAAAGAGAGAGGGAGGAGGTAGAAAACATATGCTATATTGGTTATGATGGCACCAGGTGGGCAAATTGGGTGATCAATAGGTTCATGTGAATAGGTTCAGGGGAATAGGAGGTGGGTTGCATGGACAAATGAGCAGAGAGAGGGCATACAGGGACATAAGAAGGAACCAGAGAAAGGTATGTTGAAGGCTAGGTGGGAAAGAGAGAAAAGGATTAAGGGGTCAGAGGTGATCAGACTGGGTGGGCTACTGGAATAGAGACACAGCAAAAACTTAGTGACTGAGGTCAACAAGCTCCTTGCCCTTAATTGTTGGAAGCGAGGGTGGAGGGAAGAGGGGTTTAACAAGCTGATTTGCAGTATAGAAAAAACAGGGATTTCAGGGATACATTTCAGAATAGTCCTAAATGATAAACAGATTGTGGAGACAAAAGTCCCAGAAATCAGCAGAGATAGCTAAACCAGTTGTCTGCCCTATCTTTTTAAGTCTGAATCCCTTGGGCTCAAGTGAGCTGAGATGAGGGTCATACCAGAGGGAATGGCCAAGATGACAGACAGTAATAGTTTTATTGAAGAAAAGGGCTTCAAAGGTGGAGATGAGGCTGTGGTGGAGTAAATCAGTAGCTGCGGAAATGTTATGCTGAGTGAAGGGCCAAAAGCTGGATATTTAGGAAGGGTCACAGCAGAAACCAGTTTGTGGATAATGAATAATCTTGGCCTCAATAACAAAGATATTTTTGAGTGTGCAGTTGACTATTCATAACAACATAAGAGATGATGTTCACTCATGACTACAGATTTGTACAACATCCAGGCTTGAACTCCTAAGCAGAAATTAACATTTGCAATACACTAGGTGCTTGGTAATAAGCATCTCTAGAAGAGAGTCTTACACTTCCCCTTGACATTCAGCAGCATCATAATCACTGAATTCCCCATTGTGAGCATTCAGAAGAGTCTTCCATGGTGAGTATTTCCCTCCTATACAGCGGTATAGTGACTGCAGTGAGTAGCATATCCAAGATGTATTGCAGCACTTTGCCAAGATTTCTTGAATAGCAGCTTTCAAATTCATGATCTCCACTACCTAAGAACAAAGGTAGCAGCAGCTTGCATGTACAATCATCTGCAATGTTCCGTCCAAATCTCTCACCATCCTGATCTGGAAATAATTCATCCCTGCTTCTTTTTCTATTAAAATCCTGGACCTGCCTTCCTCACAACATAACGGGTGTACCTCCACTAGATAGGCTGCAGTGGTTCAAGGGCAATAGGGCATAAATGCTGGTATAGCCTGTGCCAACCACATCCTGTGATTAAGTGAAAAGAGAATACACCCCTTCAAGCCTTTAGAATCTTCTAGGTTTCAATGAGGTCACCTCTCATTCATGTAAACTCCAGCGCATTGGCCTATTCTATTCAGATCAACCTAGTGAACTTTACACCCCTTCCTAGAAAAGTATTTCCAGATACCCAGATTGTACACTGTACATAGTACTCCAGAGGTGGCGTGGTGGTAATTATTAAAGATAACATGATGGAAATAGGAAACAAAGTGGTTGCTTTTTGTAAAACAAATAAAATCCATGTGGATTGATATAAAAGACAAGTGAAGATCAATTAGAAAAAGGGTAATCTCTAGACCACCTGATAATAGGAGGGAATTGAAGGAAAATAGATGATTTAGGGAAAAGAACCAAAATGACAGAATAAGGATCATAGAGGATTTCAAATATCCTGAAATTAATTGCCAAAAAATAGGCAAAGGGATAACAGAATGGAATACCTACAAATGTGTGCAAGACTTCTTTCTTAACCCAGTATCCAAGAAACCCAACAAGAAAGGATTTCCTACTGAATATAGTAATGGGAATGAAGCAACACACAAGTACAAGTCAAAGAACATTGAGGCAATAGTGGCCATGATATAATACAGTTTAGGATAAAGACTGAGCAGGACATTAAACGTTACTAAGATCAGGAGAACATATTTGGATAAAATTGGTTTTGAAGTGCTGAGAATTTGAAGTTAAAAGAACAATATGTCGATTAAACAATAGTGTAAAAACCCACCAGAAATATTTAAAATTGTGCAGTGGAGTCCAGGAAAGAAACAAACCATGAAAAGAATTAGACAGACTACTATTTCAGTAGGTCAAGCCTGATTTAACTAGTCACACCCATATAAATTGGCAGAATGTGGATTTAGCCTGTTGCTGACATCACTAGAGGAGAAGCAAATTAAAGACGGGAAAGAAAATGTTTAAATAAGGGCTTAGAACATAGACAATAGGAGGGAGCACAATATGGGACAATATAAAGCAATTAGGAGAGAAATCGACAAATCAGAAGGCAAGGAACTAAGAAACTAAAGACAAATTAGTAAATCCGCTTGACATCGGGCCCCAAAGCCTCAAATCTCATTTTCTGCTCTGCTGTCTGAATGGTCTTTTCCCCAGTGCTAACACCTTGTATGCACAAAACACCAGGGAATAGTAGGATGGAAATGATACCAAAAGGTACAACATTGACTGTCGCTGAATATTTTAAGCTCCCCAATAACTCCGAGAAACCATCTTAACATGCAATTTGGATGGTAGAAGTTCGGCAAATGGATTATGTTCAAGTGTAAGTAAATGTTTACCAAAGGCAGGGGATGGATTTCATTTTCTTGCATTTCTGTCTTTTGACATTCACTTCTGTCTCTGTAGACAATCCTGTAAAGGGAAACAAGTGTTGGTTTGTTGTCATCAATCGGGGAACATTGCAGAACAAGCCTATCCCACCACTGAACAGTCAAACACCCATATAGCAAACCTCTTGCCTTTGTAAGTTACTTTACGCTCAAAAAATAAAGCATTTTAAAAAGAAGTAATAGTCCCTTCATTTACAACAATAACTTGCATTTGTTTAATTTATTTGCATAATAAAATATCTCAAAGGGCTTTACAGGTACATCAAACAAAATCAAATAAGGAGCTTCAAAAGGAGATAAACCAACTGATGAAGATCTTGGTCAAAGAGAATGCTTAAGACATAAGCATGAAGACGTTTGCATAAATACCTCATTCTCCCTAGCTGCTAATGGTTCTGATGAAGTGCTTTCTCCCCACAGATTCTGCAAGACCTGTTTTAGTTTCAAATTTCCAGCATCTGCAGTTCTTTGTTTTATGCCACTTGCTTTGAAATATTTGCAACAGTCCTTGGTTTTTTTTAAAATTGTCTTCTCATTTCAGTCCACAATGAAAAGTACAGAAAAATAAAGAAGACATGGACTTTATAGGACTGATCTGAATGTCACATGCTGGAATGAAGTAGTGTTGCAATTATCTGAAGTTTCAACACTGGGAAATCAAAGGTTTACTTTAAAAGGAAACCTTATGCCTCTCTCATTCCCACTCTACTCACTTTCTTATTAGATGGCTGCCGATTAGCACTATTGGAAGGCTGGGAACATATACTGGAATCCATTCAATCTTTGTTCATATTTGACATAAATATCCTACCACAAATCTGCTTATCATCAAAATCAAAACATTGCCCAATTTTACAGGTCTTACTTACATGGCTCCAGACTCTCAGAAATGAGCTTGCCTCTGAAATGGCCCGATAGGACATTCAATCGTATCAACAGCTAGAAAGTAAAAAAGACAAACAGATCTGCAAACAGATAGACCACCTAGCCCCCAGAAGCCATAATGACAAGAATAGCCTTGCCGACTCTGCAAAGTCCTCCTTAGAAATGTCTGGGGGCTAGTGCCAAAATTAGGAGAGCCATCCCACAGACCAATCAAACAACAGCTTGGCACAGTCAAAATCATAGAAACAAACCTTACGATGTTGCAGACACCACCACCACCATCCCTGGATATGCCCTGTCCCACTGGCAGGACAGACCCAACTGAGTTGTCAGCACAGAGTTCATGTACAGCTGGGAGGGAGTTGCCCTAGGAGTCCTCAACAGTGAAGTCTCATTCATCAAGTCAAACATTGGCAAGGAAACCTATTGATTACCACATATCTCCCCTTCCCCATATTTTTATTTGCTCCTTCATATCAAACACACTGAAAAGGAAGCCCTGAGTGTGGCAAGGTTGCAGAATGTGTGGGAGACTTGCATGTCCACCAGCAACCAGTAGCAGTACTGATTGAGCAGGTTGGCTCCTAAACAACATTGCTGTTGTTCTGGGTCAGTAGCCGTTGATGAGGAAATCAACGAGGGAAAAACATACTGGATGTATCCACAAGCATGATTACTGTGCAGCCCTTATGGAGATGAAGTCCTATATTCACATTGTGAGCACTCTGCATCATGTTGTGTGGCACTATCACCGTATTAAATGGGATAGACGTAGAACAAATCTAGCAACTTAAGACTGGGCATCAATGATTTACTGTGGGCCATTAACAGCAGCAAAATCATACTCCAGCACAATCTGCAACGTTATGGCCCAGCAACCATTACCTTCAAGCTAGTAATTAATCTAGTTCAGTGGAGAGAGCAGGAGGGCATGCCAGGATCTACACCAGGCATACCTAAAAATGAGGTGTCAACCTGGTGAAACTACCAAACAGGACTACTTGTATGCCAAATGGCATAAGCAGCAAGTGCCTGACAGATCTAAGCAATCTCACAAGTAATGGATCAGATCTAAGCTCTGCAGTCCTGCCACATCCAACCGTGAGTAGTACTGGACAGTTAAATAACTCACTGGAGGAAGCGGCTTCACAAATATCCCCATCGTCAATGATGGAAGAGACCAGCACATCAATACAAAAGATAAGGCTGAAGAATTTGCAGTAATCTTCAGCCAGAAGTGCAAAGTGGATGATACATCTCGGCCTCCCCCAGTGTTACAGATACCAGTCTTCAGCCAATGCGATTCATGCCATGTGATATCAAGAAATAGTTGGAGACACTGGATACTGCAATTGCTATGGGCCCTGACAACATTTCAACAATAGTACTGAGAAGCAAGTTGTTCTAGTACAGCTACAATCCTGGCATCGACTCAGAAATGTGGAAAATTGCCCAGGTATGTCCAGTGCACAAAAAGCAGATAAATCTAACCCAGCCAATTATTGCCCCATCAGTCTACTCTCGATCATCAATACAGTGATGGAAGGTATCGTCAATAATGCTATCAAGCAGCACCTGCTCAACAACGCTCAGTTTATGTTCTGCCAGGGCCATTCAGCTCCCGACCTCTACAGCCTTAGTTCAAACATGGACAAAAGAACTGAATTCCAGGAGGTGAGAGTGGCAGCCCTTGACATCGTGGCCACATTTGGCAAGGAGCCCTCGCAGAACAACTGGAATCAATGGGAATCAGGGCGCAAACTCTCCGCTGGTTGGAGTCATATCTGACACAGAGGAAGATGGGTTGTAATTGTTGAAGGTCAATCATCTCAGCTCCAGGACATCTGTGCAGGAGCTCTTCAGGATAGTGTCCTAGGCTCAACCTTTTTCAGCTGCTTCATCAATGATCTTTCCTCCATCATAAGGTTGGAAGTGGGAATGTTCACCGATGATTGCACAATATTCAGCACTATTTATAACTCCTCAAATACTGAAGCAGTCCCTGTTCAAAATGTCACAAGATCTGTGCAATATCCAGGTTTGGGTTGACAATTGGTAAGTAACGTTCACACCACACAAATGCCAGGCAATGACCATCTCCAATGAGAGAATCTAACCATCACCCCTTGACATTCAAAGGCATTACCATCACTGAGTCCTACACTAATAACATCCTAGAATGTACCAATGATCAAAAACTAAAGTAGCCACATAAACTCTACAAAAGCAGATCAGAGGCTAGGAATATTGCAGCGAGTAACTCACCTCCTGACTTCCCAAAGATTGAATACCATCTATAAGGCACAAGTCAGGAGTGTGATGGAATATTTCCCACTTGCCTGGATGAATGCAGCTCCAGTAACACTCAAGAAGCTTTACACCATCCAGAACAAAGCAGCTTGCTTGACTGACACTCACCAACAATCAAACAATCCACCACAGACACTCAGTAGCAGGAATGTGTGCCATATTCAAGATGCACTGCAAAAAATCATCAAGGCTCCTTAGGCAGCATTGTCTAAGCCCATGACCACTGTCATCCAGAAGAACAGGGGAAGCAGATACATGAAATACCACCACCTGCAAGTTCCCTTTAAAACCACTCAACATCCTGACTTAAAAATATATTGTTGTTCCATTAGTAGCAGTGGGTCAAAATCCTGTGGATCTAGCAAACTGCATTAACTAAAAGGATGCTAATGAATTTGATTGCATTTAGTCAGAAGGGTCAAATATTTGTATTTATTTCCCCTTATATCTACAGTCACAGTCCTGCATAAAATAGTGGATAGGATTAGGGTATTTGTTTTATTCCTCTTTCACTTTTCTTTAAGTTGCTTTTTGAAGGTTGTTTAGCCTCCTTTTCCAGTGCTTCCTCATCAGTCATTGCACACTAGATTTCAATCCAATGATCCATCAATCCACCATTCCAAGGCTTGGATGTTGTCCTCCTATATCACCAAATTATATTTCTCAAAGCCTAACCAGAAAATTACTTAACTTCACCTTCTAGAGAGGAGGCTGTGAGAATCGGTTAAAAAAAAGCAAATTAAACAGAGTGACTGGTAATATTTGAGGATGTATTGAGACGGAGTAATGAGATACAAATGTAATTCTATACCAGTTGAGTTCTCTGAGTTAGCTGCAATCCCACAAATAGTGGTTGAATCAGAAAGCCAACCAAGTCCTCTGTGGGAAAGTCACCTTGAGCTGTAGCTGTGTGTCACCTTCCATCTAATTCAAAAGAGAGGAATTGAGTAGATGGATCTGTGGTTTCCCCATGCACAGAATTCCCCATCTCAGTCACTCTGTCAGAAAGAGATGCCAGGTGAGCAGAAACATGTCCTCACATAGACAAGACTGAAGGAATCAGGAAAATAATTCTTGTGCTTCTTTTACTAGCTGTCAGTTGAGAACTGGTAGAAGCCTGGGACAATAATATCTCATGAGGAGACTGAAAACAAATTTTTGTCCACATTTAAAGGAGAAGTCACATACTTTATATTCTGCTTCTCCTCAAACTTGTGGGTGGGTTTGCAGGCAGTCACATCATCCCTTTCGGCCATGGTCCTCTGGATTTCTGGCAACTCATTCTTCCTCTCCTGAAGTGTATGTTCCTTTTCTCTCCCAGACTTAGTCAGTGGCGATCTCTGCAGCTTGCTGACCTCCTTGGTGTCATCCTGAGTAATGGACAAAGCAGGAGAATTAGGCCCAAACAAGATTTCTGTAAAATTACTACAAATTTCTAGAATATTAATGAGTTAAATCACTGTCATTTAAAAGGTTTCTTCAGTTTACTTTCAGAATGGAGTGTACAATGAGCAATATACTATCCTCTGGGGCAATCCCAAAACTAACAGTACAACTGGAATAACAAGGTGTAGAGCTGGATGAACACAGCAGGCCAAGCAGCATCAGAGGAGCAGGAAAGCTGACGTTTCGGGTCTGGACCCTTCTTCAGAAAATGGTATTTCCAGTACAACTGGAAACTTTGGGCTTTTGTATTAGAATCAAATCTGGAGACTTTTCTCATTTCCTGGGTTCTTGGAGTGATATGTCACTGGGATAGTTTAACCTTGCTTGAGAAATTGGGTTTTAATTATAGAAACCAGTGAATCATTTATCACTCTTTGGAATTTACAATGAGTTCTCAGAACCAATTAGTGCAAAAATGCAGTGTTTTCCAGTGAACTGAAACTTTGGAGAAAATTAGAACTACTAGAGGAGCTGGAACAATTTAAGCTCAGTGAATATGCCAGCCACAAGTCCTCGGCTTGAACTCCAATCGTGGAAGGCGTGCATAAGATTCAGGTTAATGCTCTTGAAGCGGTACTGGGACAGTGCTGCTGGGCTGCAAGTGTCACCTCTCAGTTGAAACATGAAACAGAGACTGCATTTGACATAAAACAATCCACAATATTATTTTTTGAAGATTAACAGAGAGGAGTTCTTCCTGGTGCCCAGTTCAATATTCATTCCCCAATCAACATTACGAAAAAACTGTTACATTGCTTGCGGAAGCTGGTCTTTGCTGTGTTTTCTAAGGTAGAACGGCAACTACTTTTCAAAAGCTATTCATTGGCTAAAACCCACTTTGTGGGGAGGGGGGGCGGTGGTGGTGGGGGGAGTTTGTCTATCTCATAAAAGGTGCTACATATGCAAATTCTTTCTCCCCATTAAGAATCCAGGCCTATCCCAGAACATAACTGATACAGAGCTGAACATAGGTACAGCAGTAGGCCATTCAGCCCTTCAAGCCTGCTTTGCTATTCAGTGAGACCAAAGCTGATCAGTGGCCTAAGCCCACAGACTTGACTTTCGCCCACATCCCTCACTTATCTCTTGAAATATTACATTGCTCCTCATATTGAGGAAAAACCCAGGGTATAGGAATGAATCTCAAGGATCAGCCTAGCCTTGTGGGCAGTGAAAGTGTCACCATATTCCAGTGAAAGTTGCATTTGCTACTGTTTAGCCTCTTGTTCAAACCAGCGAAAACTAGAAAGATGGGTTTGCCATAAGGAGATTTACAGAATGGAATCATGAATATACAGATGGTAGGTCAGGTCTTAAAAACTTGTCCTGTCCCTGGAAAAAGGACTTTCAGTTCTGTGACTCCCTTATAAAGGACATACGCCCTCAGTGATAGTTGCTGACAAGAAAGTCAACTATTGTTTTAGTGCTTTTAACTTCTGTGAGCACGTCTCGACTTTCAGTGAAATGTTAAATCAAGGCCGCTCTTGCTTTCATAGGTGGTGCAAAAGATCCTGTGTTACTATTAAGAAATGAGCAGGAGAGAGATTCCCAGTGTTCTGTCCAACTGACATCCATCAATGAATATCACCAAAGAACAGATTATCTGGTTATCATATTGCTGCTTATGGGAGATTAATACCTAAATTCTCATAGAACCCTTACAGTGCGGAAACAGGCCATTCGGCTCAACAAGTCCACACAGACTGTCCAAAGAGCATCCCACCCAGACCAACCCCTACCCTATCCCTGTAACCCTGCATTTCCCAAGGCTAATCCAATTAGCCTACACATCCCTGTACACTATGGGCAATTTAGTATGGCCAATCCACCTAGCCTGCACATCTTTGGACTGTGGGAGGAAACCCACACAGACACAGGAACAATGTGCAAACTCCACACAAACAGTCGCCCAAGGGTGGAATTGAACCTGGGTCCCTGGCACTGTGAGGCAGCAGTGCTAACCACTGAGTCACCATGCTGCAACTCAATTGGCTGCTAATTATTTGCAAAAAATGCTTTCTCATCAGATGGGGGCATCATTGATAAGGTCAGTGCTTGTTGACCATCCCCAATAGCCCTTGAACTGATTTGCGTGCCAGGGCATTTCGGTGGCCAGTTAAGAGTCACCCTCATTGCTGCAGATGTGGAGTCATGTGTAAGCCAAACTAGCTAAGAATGACATATTTCTTTCCCTAAAGGACATTAATGAACCAGATGGGTTTTAATGAAAGTTGATGATAGTAGCATGGTCACCATTATTGAGACCAGCTTTATATTTATCTGACCCCATGTATATCAGCCTGGGTCTCTGGATTACAAGTCAAATAACACCACTGTTTCCCCAAGTTTCCTGCATTTTGATCGTGACTCCATTTGAAAAGTAATTACCTCATAAGTTGCTTTGAGCTGTCCTGAGGTGGAAGTCACTATATAAATACAAGGCTTTTTATTTAAAACACAACACTTTCTCCCCTGAAATCCGCTCAGTTTGAAAAACAGTCACAAAAATCACAGCCTGTGGGGATGGAGATTATTGTCCTATCATTGGGCGCTGCATTCATATGCAAGTAACACAGATGAAAAAAAATGCTCAGATTGTTTCTGTTGATAGTCAACATGCGCCCTTTAACTGTTCCTCTCCATTTCTGGCTCTGTTGCATCTTCTTCTAAGGATTTAAGGATGTAGACATCTCTATCAGCAATCAGAAGGTTACTATCTTCGTCCAACTAATGTGTTAAACAAGAAATCATTTTCACCCAGAGATAGTAGGAACTGCAGATGCTGGAGAATCCGAGACAACAAGGTGCAGGGCTGGATGAACACAGCAGGCCAAGCAGCATCATAGGAGCAGAGAGGCTGACGTTTTGGGCCTAGACCCTTCATCAGAAAAGGGGGTGGGGAAGGGGGTTTTGAAATAAATAGGGAGAGAGTGGGAGGCGGATAGAAGAGGGATAGAGGAGAGGATAGGTGGAGAGGAAACAAACAGGTTGAAGAGGTGGGGATGGAGCCAGGAAAGGTGAGTGTAGGTAGGGAGTTAGGAAGGGGATAGGTCAGTCCAGGGAGGATGGACAGGTCAAGGGGGCGGGATGAGGTTGGTCGGTAGGAGATGGAGGTGCGGCTTGAGGTGGGAGGAGGGGATAGGTGGGAGGAAGAACCGGTTAGGGAGGCAGGGACGAGCTGGACTGGTTTTGGGATGCAGTGGGGGGAGGGGAGATTTTGAAACTTGTGAAATCCACATTGATACCATTGGGCTGCAGGGTTCCCAAGCGGAATACGTACCACCCCACCAACCTCCGGATCCAACGCATCATCCTCCGACACTTCCGCCATCTGCAATCCGACCCCACCACCAAAGACATCTTTCCCTCCCCACCCTTATCTGCTTTCCGGAGGGACAACTCTCTCCGTGACTCCCTTGTCCGCTCCACACTCCCCTCCAGCTCCACCACACCCGGCACTTTTCCCTGCAACCGCAGGAAGTGCTACACCTGCCCCCATACTTCCTCCCTCACCCCCATCCCAGGCCCCAAGAAGACTTTCCACATCAAGCAGATGTTCACCTGCACATCTGCCAATGTGGTATACTGCATCCGCTGTACCCGGTGTGGCTTCCTCTACATCGGGGAAACCAAGCGGAGACTCGGGGACCGCTTTGCAGAACACCTACGCTCGGTTCGCAACAAACAACTGCACCTCCCAGTCGCGAACCATTTCAACTCCCCCTCCCATTCCTCAGACGACATGTCCATCCTGGGCCTCCTGCAGTGCCACAACGATGCCACCCGAAGGTTGCAGGAACAGCAACTCATATTCCGCTTGGGAACCCTGCAGCCCAATGGTATCAATGTGGATTTCACAAGTTTCAAAATCTCCCCTCCCCCCACCGCATCCCAAAACCAGTCCAGCTCGTCCCTGCCTCCCTAACCTGTTCTTCCTCCCACCTATCCCCTCCTCCCACCTCAAGCCGCACCTCCATCTCCTACCGACCAACCTCATCCCGCCCCCTTGACCTGTCCGTCCTCCCTGGACTGACCTATCCCCTTCCTAACTCCCTACCTACACTCACCTTTCCTGGCTCCATCACTGCCTCTTCGACCTGTTTGTTTCCTCTCCACCTATCCTCTCCTCTATCCCTCTTCTATCCGCCTCCCACTCTCTCCCTATTTATTTCAAAACCCCCTTCCCCTCCCCCTTTTCTGATGAAGGGTCTAGGCCCGAAACGTCAGCCTCTCTGCTCCTATGATGCTGCTTGGCCTGCTGTGTTCATCCAGCCCTGCACCTTGTTGTCTCAATCATTTTCACCCCTTTTGTTTTAAAAATATTTTCTATTCAACCTTTTCAGAGATGTAATTACACACCTCTTGAGCAGGTAGGACTTAAACCTGGTCCAGAGGTAAAGCCACTACCACTGTGCCATAAACACCACAAAACTTTTCTTCCAGACAGAAATGTATAATCAGTGCACGAGTAATCATCCAGTCACAATAAAAACATTGCAATGGTTATGCTTATCACATGTCAAGCCCCTTACACTGGTACTACAACACTGAAGTAGACCTTGATTTAGTGACAGTGTTGTTCTGAAGGAAGCAGCACCCTGTTTTATATCTCTCATGACAACAGAAATAAAAATAGGAAGAGAGGTGTAAAATAGGCTGGTATCTCACCATCAACCATTTACACACAGCCAAAATCTACCATAATCACAAATGCCCGCTAATGCCAGCATTCATGTTTAAATTGCAGCAGTCTTAAAATGGCCAAACATCCACATTTGTTTACTGCCGCAAATAATTAAAAGGGTGAACTCAAACTCTCAAACTACATAGGCAATTTGGTTTGTCTAAATGGTACAAAGGTGATGTCTCAAATTTGCAACATTCTGTACAGGAACCCAAGGTTCCACCCTGCAGCTTACACAATATGGGTTTAATTGAAATATCTGGTACCTTGCCTGTCTGGAGATGATATACCATACAGCGCTGGCTCTCCAGCTCCTGACGCAGGTCAACCACATGTTGGCACAGATCCTCACTGGCTCTGCACAGTGCATGGATAGCTTCTCCTAACGTCATTCGTGTCAGGCTCCTGCAAAATAATGAGGAGGTGGGTTTCACAATGCACGTCCTAGCAGATTCCCTCCTGGTGCAGTGAACCTGTCACATGAGGGTCTGTGCTCATTTGCTTGCTCTGATTGGACCTGAGATTTTGAAACAGAGGAAGGAACACCAGCTACCAAAAGGCACTGAAGATTCTCCTGGAAGAGAGTGTCAGGACGTGAGAGACATGTTAATCTGGATTTACCTTCCACTGTCTAGCTGTCCCTGAGATTACACAAACTCTTTGGCCCATGTCAGTTGTTCCTACAATATGACCTGTCAATCATTACATTGGATTTTTAAAATTTGGTACAAAAAACACCCATCAGAATTAATTTTCAGCCAATAAGTTGCTTTCTTTTTGAGAAAGAAGCACAGTAGGAAAAGAAAGCAAATGAGAAAAGTAGTTAGAATTTTAGAGTTAAAAAACATGGAAATAAATGCATTGGATAAAACAAAATTAAATTAATATTAATATATAGGAGATTGAGAGATCAGCTAGAGTGGGAAATATATTTTAATACAGAAATTGCATTGAAATTCTTTCAATCTCTTGTCAAACTTAAGGTGGAAGATCTGAAGGATTTACATGGAACTTCAAGGTCGTTATTTTGCTAATTTGTATTTGTAATGTGTGTTTTAAGTTCATTAGTCAGTATTGTTAGGGAAGGGTTTCTTGAAATTCTTTCACAAGATGTGGGTGACACTAGTTAAGCCAGCATTTGTTGTCCATCCCTGATTGCCCAGCAGGAGGTGACAATTAGCCACTTTGTTGAACTGCTGCAGTGCATGTAAGATAGATGTGGGAGAATGGGAGTGAATGAGTTGACTAGGGTTAACCATGGTGGTGTCAGTGACTCACCTCAGTTTACTGCAGGGTGGACTTATAACTCTCCCCAAGGCTTGCATTTGTGTACTCTGTATTAACACACGAATGCGTTCACACTCTGTCTTGATCTCAGACACAAAGGACTTTTCTGCCTGCTCCTCCTGCATTCTGGCTTCTCTCTCTTTGAGGGAAACTTCACTGTTCTTGGCTCGAAGGATCTGCAACTCCTCCTCCATCTTTGAAGTCAGTCTCTCAATTTCTTTTTCTTTACCCTAGACTCGCAACAGGAGCAGAAGCTCAGGGCAATCCCAAAGAAAATATGAAACTTAATCAATTTTGCACAATATTAATAATGAGACAATAATGGAAACCATACTACCCTCTACAATACTAGTAAGGATCAAACCTTACCAGGGCTTAGAATAATACTACTGTGGATAGACAGCCATTAGCATTGATCAGACCCAACATTACTAGGGGTTAGAGTCACCAGTACTAAGAAATATAACAACATTACCATCAATCAGATTTAACTTTATCAGGGATCAAATGATTGGTTAACTATAATCTTTCTTCTTAAAGCTGACAGTCTTCACTTCATACCAACTGCATTTCTTCCCTGAGCTGTTGGATCTCCTTTTCTTTCTCTTCGGTCATCTGAGTCTTCAGATTGCTTATGGCCTGATCTGTCTTTTGCTGGAGGGAATGGCTGTGGACCTCCAGCTCCTGGATTCTCTGCCAACAAAAACACAATATAAAAAAGTGTCCAGAGGGAGTGCAGAACACATTGATCAGGTTCATCATAGAACACTCGATGTCCAAACTGCCACTTGCTTCAGCTATTTATAGTTCTCTTTCACCCACAAGATATTCCTTCTCAAAAGGATTTTGGCATTTTGTTAATAACTAGTATCAAATCAATTGCACTGGGCAGTGGTTAGATACTAGCTCAACAATAGCATGGTTTTCTTCTAAATTCTTTTAATCTCTTCTTTACATGTTACCAAATGTTGTTTTATCTCTATATTTCTCCAGTTTAACTCCCTTAGCTCCACCCTTATGGCTGGCTTCTCCGAAATGATAATTTGGTGTTTGTAACTACTAATCAATCTATCCTTAATTTTAATTGCTGCAGCATCGGTGGCTGTATCTTCAGTTGGCTTCATTCCACTCTCTAGAATGCTCTCCATTTGATTCTCTGACCCTCGATCTTGCTTGTCTCCCTCAACGCTCTCCTTAAGATCTATTACTTCTGTTCTAATTACCTCCTTATGAGAAATTCAGTGTGAAACATTGTTTCATAATGCCCTGCGATGCATTTTGCAATGTTTCATTGCATTAAAATTGCAATACAAGTTGTTGTTGTTGTAAACCTGATCTCGGAAAGTTTGAAGTTGATGTTGGGTTCCTGATGAGGAAAAGGTGCATTCACAGGTGTTTAAAAAAGATCAATTCCTTGTAATAGGTCTAGTTGAGTTGCTTCAGCTGAGATATTGATGCAATAGTCCAAAGGACCTGTTTCTGTTCTGCAACAGCTATTCATAGATCATCATAGAATCCCTACAGTGTGGAAACAGGCCCTTCGGCCCAACAAGTCCACACCGACCCTCACAGCATCCCACCCAGACCCATCCCCCTGTAACCCACCTAATCCACACATCCCTGAACACTACGGTCAATTTAGCATGGCCAATCCACCTAGCCTGTACATCTTTGGACTGTGGGCGGAAACCGGAGCACCCGGAGGAAACCCACGCAGACACAGGGAAAACGTGCAAACTCCACACAGTCAATCGCCCGAGGGTGGAATTGAACCTGGGTCCCTGGCCCCTGCTAACCACTGAGCCACCGTGCTGCCCTGCGAGTCTATTCCATGACTCCTTCCTCTAGGTTGAGACCATGGTTGGATTGTGATGTGTAAAATTAAACAGTGGACGCCCAAAAGGTGATTACTTCTGATCATTTAGCTTGAAAGGCAAGTTAGACCTCCAAACATGCACCTGAGCTTCCACTGAATAGTTCACACTGTAAATCAGAAAACACAGAAAGGAATAAGTGATTCCACACTGTGGTCTGCTGACATTAAGAAAAATAAATTACTCAACTAATGTTACAGACATATTTAGTGCATATATGATGTTAAAGAGTCTGCTAAAAAGTCAGGACATGGTTACCATGACAAACCTTATCTCACACGGTTCCTTGAATCTGATAATGAGCTCTTGGAGCCTTAAGGAAGGTCAAGGGAGTGTTTCACTGGAGTATTGCAAGTCAATGATAGAATTTTTTTTGCGTGTGAAAATATTGTTTCTAAATCCTAGAATAACATTAAATTAATGCTTTCAAAATTAAATCAGTGACTACACTTCAAACATATGTAATTGGCTGTAAAGCAATTTTAGACAAACAGAAGTCATGAAGCTAATATAAAAATGGCAACTCTTTCTTTATCAACACTTAAAGAGACAAAATATCTTCATTGTGCAACTACTCATCTTTTGGAGTAGATCAGGTAACATATCTCATGAAAGAAAGTGTTCTGTTTCCTTCAGTGAGGGAGACCTTTTTACAGAGAGAGAGTCTTATCCTTAGGAATTAAGTTTAAACTCAAACTTCAGCTATTTTTAAAGGGAAGAGCAAGACAACTATGTCTTAGCCCCATTCATAAACTTGACATTCCAATTCTCTGTTTTTAAAACTGACTATCCAAGCCTTGCACAAATCAATTAATTATTGGGATAGTGGCCAATTTGTTCTGCTAAATTACATGCTAACCTTCTGCAATTCGACTAATTTGTGTTGTAAAGTGAGTGAGTTTCTCCGTTCTTTCTCCAGGTCCTCAATGGCCTGTTTAAGGGCTCTCCCATTCACCTCTTCCAGAGACAGACCATGTTGTTGGAGCTGTTCCTTCGAATCTGCTTCCCACTTCTGGTTTTCAAGATCCAAGGCATTCGGAACCTGGAGATACACATTCATGTGTATAAATATAAAAGCTATGTCAAGAGGGAAAAATAACGAACTAGTCGAGTAAAGTCAGATTCAAAAGTGAAGTCCCATGTGGGTAAATAGCCAGGCTGCTCAATGTCCATGAGAAGAAAGGACATATGGGTGAGATATGAAGGACTGTGGGTGCTCAGGGAACAGCAGTTCTGTAGAAGCTGGCACTTTCAGGTCAGCAGAGTCAAATTAATTAAACCACCAAAATATGCATGAACATTAGAATGGATCTGCAGCTAGACATCAAACGTGGCTTGGTGAAGCACAGAAGTGGGAGATGGGTGGAGACGATGGTATACCTGTTACCAGTGGCTTTGGTTATGCAAGTAAAACCTCCAGGTTTCCCGCCCATCCAGGTGTCAAAGCTGAAGAGCTACCTTACTGAGCACTCACTTCAGGATAGTTGGTCGCTGTCCTTACTTTGTCGTTGGACAGTACTTCCCTCTGTGCACTCACCACAAGGCTTTCACTGCACAAACATGTGTCTCAATAAAGAGGTGCCTCACCGACTCCACTGCCTCCTGTTTCAACTCTTCAGTCAGTTTCTTCATCGACTTATCCTGACCTTGGACCTGTTCTTGCAAGGTCAGCGTTTCTTCACGCTTGGTCTGGGGAAAACAGTAGCCATTGGCCACAAATACATTTAATAACCCCGAACCCCTCAGCTCATTGGCTTCATTTTTATGAACCACAGCGAGTGAGTCTTCACTGAGGTTTATTTACTAATATTTTGCTTTTATTCAGTATTTCCCCATTAAAACAAAACACTTTGGTGTGTACGGGTCTGAAGGAGTTAATGTGGAGGAGTGCCATAAACACCACCCAATATGATGATATCATATGGACTTGTGGGAGGAACAGCCTGGGATCTCAAAGGAGGGAAGACTATGCATCTGGTCCTTATCAATTTCTCTGTAACAATGTCTCTGTTACAGATCCCTGTAACCTGTAGCTGCTCGCTAATGAACTATATCTGGTAAATTACAAGTCTTTTTGTCTGCCAAAGATATTTTGTGGCCCCTCTTTGCCCTCCTAATTTCTCTTATAAGGACACCCCCAACAGTCTCTGTACTTCTGAAGGACCTCCCCTGTTTGATGCTCTGGTTCCCTGGTCTTGCTGCCCTTGCCCATCACACTTAGTGGAACACGCTGGCCCTGAACTCTCACTATTTTTAAAAAACTCCAAATATAGACTTACTTGCAAAGAGCTGCCCCTAGTCTATGCTTGCCAGTTCCTGTAAAATGATATTGAAATTGGACGTCCCCCAATGTAGGCACATAACAACACTATCCATATCCCTTTCCAGACTGACTTCGGAATTTGCAGAGTTATGGTCAATATTCCAAAATGTTCACCCGCTGACTGGCTTCATTCCCAAGGACTCGGTCTAGCACAGCCCCAACTCTAATAGGACTATTCGCGTACTGGCACAAAACACCCCATCTCTCTTACACTCCCTGAAGGCTGAAATCTGAGCTTCGAGTGCTATAACACATCAGGGATGGGGAGAATTACTTGGATGCTGTGTTTCAGGAGGCAGTCACGCTCCTTAGATTAATTACCTTGAGTTCGGTCATGGACAGGAGGACGTGACTATGAGCAAGGCAAGTAGAGGGATCCAAGAGGTAATACTGAAGGAGCCTCCGCCCTTGAGCTTGTCTAACAGGTTTGAGATTCTTGCTGCCCAAGTGGATGAGATAGGGGGCTGTAGGGACTATGAGCAAACTGACCCGAGCACCGTGGTACAGGGAGCCTTTCAATGATGGAGAGAAAAGTGAAATGTAGTTGTAATAGGGGATAGTATAGTCAGGGGAATAGACACTGTTCTTTGTGGCCATGATCGAGATTCCCGAAGGCTGTGTTACCTGCCTAGTGTCTGAATTCAGAATCTCTCATCTATGCTGTAAAGGAACTTGCAGTGGGAGGGGAAAGATCCTGTTGTTGGGGTCCACGTAAGTACCAATGATACGGGTAAAAAGAAGTTCTGCTGAGAAAATACGAGAAGCCAGGGGCTAAATTAAAAAGCAGAACCGAAAAGATAATAACATCCAGATAACTATCTGAGCCATGAGCTAATTGGCACAGGGTCAATATTATTAAAGAGGTAAACACTTGGTTCAAAGATTGGGTTGGGGAGAAACAGGTTGGAATTCATGGGTCATTGGCACCAGTGCTGGGGAAGGAGGGAGCTGTTCCAAAAGGACAGGCTCCACTTGAATCATGCTGCGAGGAGAGCCCTGGTGAATTGCATAACCAGGGCTGTGGACAGGTCTTTGAACTAAATAGTGGTGGGGGTGGGTTCAGCTTGCATGGAAAATTATGGAACAAGTTAAAGGGGTGGGGGAGGGCTGAGCAGAGGACAAGTGATAGGACAGAGTATGGAAAGGCTCAGGAATCTAGCTCCAAGCACAGCAGAGAAGGGGACAACTATTAGAAGTGGGCAGTGAATGCAAGATCCAGGTTGTTGCACTTAAATGCATGCAGTATACGCAACAAGATAAATAAGTTTGTAGCGCAGATTGAAATTGGGATGTACAACATTGTGGGTAACCGAGAGGTGGCTGCAAAGGGACCAGAACTGGGAACTATATATCCAAGATACATATCCTATTGAAAGGACAGGCAGAGGCGCAGGGTTGTCTTGTTAGTAAGAAATGAAACTAAATTGATAATGAAAAGTGATATAGTCAGGAAGCATGAGGATCTGTGTGGGTAGAGTTGAGGAACTGTAAAGGAGAAAAAGCCCTGATGGGAGTTGTGTACAGGCCTCCTATCAGTAGTCAGGATGTGGGGCAGAAAATATATCACGACATTGAAAAAGCAAGTAAGAAAAGTGTTATTACGATAATCATGGAGGACTTCAGTATGGACTGGGATAATTAGGTTGGTAGCAGATTCCAAGAAATGAAATTTTGTTGAATGTTTACAAGATATTTTTAGGAGCAGCTTCTGGTGGAGCCCACTAGATGAGAAGGAATTGCTTTTCTCAGAGGGTAGTGAAAAATCTGGGGGTTTCTCCACTGCAGAGGGTTTTAATGACTGGGTCATTAAGTATAATCAAGGCTGAAAGAAATAGGCGTTCAATCAGTATAAGGGAATCAAGGGTTATGGGGAAAACTAAAGGAAAGTGGAGTTGAGGATTATCAGATCAGAGGATGATCTCATTGAATGAGAGAGCCGATGTGGTAGGCTGAATGGCCTACATCTTACAGGATGCAGCCAAGCTTTTCTCAGATAATTCTGTTGTGAAGCACCTACACTAACGGCACTATGAAAAATACAAGTTATCACCGTTGCTCCTCAACTTACATGCAAAAAAAGTGAGATACTCTGGAGCAAGGTTCTCAAGAACTCTGGGCAACACTTCATAAATCCTTCAGCTCAGCAGGTCTATTGGTGCAGTGAGAGGCTTTTAAGGAAGGAAAGGAATTTCATTTATAAAGCACCTTGTCATGGCTCTCAGAAAAATCCCAAAATATTTCATGAAGAACAAATTACTTTTAACTGCACTCCCTGTTGGTATGTCAGCAAAGTGTGCTTCAATCCTACACAAAGATGTCCTGTAACTGGCCGTTCCTTCCCTTGCCAGTTACAATTTCTTTGGTGAAGACTATGAAATAGCTCACCTCATCGTCATAGTTTAGTTGGATATTGAAGAGCCTATCAGAATAAGTGCCAGAACCTCATTTAGATTGGAACATTGACAATTTTATACCAAACCTTTGGTTTTGAGATATCAGTCGATTGATGGCTGGGCAAAACAGAACGGAATAAGATCTGTTTTAAGTGACATGCTCGCCAGGTATCGCGCGTGACAGAATCTGTACCATCACAATTACAAGTTCACAGTGCACTCAGCCGACATCTCACCAGAATCATTAACACAATCAAATTACCTGCTCCCATTGCTTTTCCACGGTGTTTAAAGTGAGCTGTCGTGCATGCTCCTTTCTAAGAGTTTCCATGGCAGACAGCTGAGCCTCTTTCTCTGCTCTCAATGTCATCACTATCTCCCTCAGCCTCAACTGCTCCATGTCCTTCTCCAAGAGGATTTTCTCCAGGGCGCTGACCTTCAGGTCACATTCTGTCAGCCGTGACAAAAGCTCATGAACACAGATTGAGTTGTTGGAGTTTGGGGCAGCTCTCTATCAAAATGGAAAGGAAAGAAACAGTGTCCTCAGTACAACAGGCAGGACTGTACTCAGAACAATATTAGACATCACCTCATTAGGACCTGCAACCCAAGCAATATCTTACTTGAAAGCCTGCTTTAAAAAGGTACCAAAGATTTTTAAAGATCTATTCAGTGGATGTCGCTCATTAGGCAGCATTTATTGACCATTCCTACTTACCCTGGAGAAGATGGTGAGCTGCCTTCTTGAACTGCTGCAGTATATAGGGGATAGTTACACTCACATACCTGTTAGGAAGCGCGTTCCAAGATTTTGACCCAGCAATATTGAAGGTAATATTGTTCTAAGTCAGCATGGTATGTGGCTTGGAGGGGAACTTGTAGATGGTGATGCTTCCATGCACACACTAATCTTGTCCTTCTAGGTGGTACGTTGTTGATGAAAAAAAAAAATCGTTGCAGCAAATTCTGTAGATGGTGCACACTGCTGCTACTGTGCATCGGGTAGTGAAAGGAGAGAATGTTGAAAGTGGTGGATGGGGTACCAATCAATTAGGCTGCTTGGCCCTGGATTGTGTAAAGCTTCTTCAGCGTTGCTGGCACTGCACTCATTAAGGCAAGTGGTCAATATTCCATTACACTCCCATTTTGTGCCTCTGGAGAGTCAGGAGGAGAGTTGCACAAAGAATTCCCAGCCTCTGACCTGCTCTTGTAGCCACTACATACATATGGCTAGGCCAATTCAGTTTCTGTTCCATGGTAACCCCCAGGATGTTGATAGTGGGGGTTTCAGTGACATCAATTCAGTCATGATATGTAAGCTCTTGGTTCCCATCAAAAGGTGAAGACAGGTTATTGGTGCCACTTCATCCATTTGATGTGATCCTAAAATCTCTCAAATGATACCAACCCCATTGATCATCCAGCTGGATAATCATTCTGCATGTTATCCATTTTTTCTGTCTCAAATGTTTCTCATGAAAGCTGTAACCCTCACTTCCTTGATCTGGGATCCCAGTATAACTCAAAACAACACTCCTGATTAACCTCAGCACTGTATTTAATATTTTGTGTTATCTTGTATGGACCCTTCTCAGTCACCTGCAGACATGAGTTATTCCTGCCTTTCCTCTAGCTCAATCCTTTGAAATTGGATCAGCCTCTACTTTACAGCAGCTCCGTGGTTCGAATCTTACATTACACACAGTCTGTGGGAGTTGATGACCAAAGGCTAAGGACTTGCCAACTGAATGGAGCCAACAACAATACTGGCAGCTTTTTTTACAAACAATCAGTCACGCAGATTCAATGGAAATATTGTACACACTCCAGCATTATCCTTTCAGCATAGAAAATTGGGGTGTTGGAGAGGGGGAGTGGAATATTTGCTAAAGGTCTTTAAAGTATTATAGGGGTTTGACAGGATAGATACACTGAAGAAAGAATCAAGATCCGGGAGGCTATCATGGATCAGAAACTTAATTGGAACAGCCATATGTAGATAATGGCTACAATAGCAGGTCAGAGGCTAGGAATTCTTTGTGCATCCTCTGGTGGGGGTATCAAGGAGAAGGAGACAAACATTTTGGAATAAAAACAGGTCATACCTTATCCACACAGTCAGAAATCTGGAATTACCGATCCCAAACTGCTGCTGATTCTGAGGGGCAGTTAGGGCTATCAAGACTGAGATAAGTTTTGGGTAAGTATATCAAAGGACATGGAACCCAGCATGGGTAAGTGGACTGGAGTGCAGACCAGCCCTGATCTAATTATGTGGTGGAGCAGGTCTGAGAAGCTCTCTGCCCAGTCTTGATCCTATTTGTCATGGTAGACCTGGCTCCTCATGACATCCTCTCAGTGAACAGCAATTGAAGAGACAGGCTAACACTGAATCCCTGCTCTGAGGTGTCCCCCATTCAGAACAGGTATGAATGTAAATCTCGAAACACACGGAGCATTAGGTCAAGGTCAATTATAGTCGCGAGGAGGCCACATTGTATTAAGTCTGTTTTAATCTGCATGAGGATAATCATTGACTTGGACACAGTGTCCTCAGAGATACAAGCAGAAACATAGAATAACAAAGAGAGGAGATTGGTACCTAATGGGTGTCTCTCTCACTTGAAGGAGATATCAGCGCTAATTTGGATTTGCAGATATCATCTGAAGGAATGTGTCCTCACCTCAACCTTTAGAATCCTCTTCAGTTCCCTGACCTGTGATTCCAGACCGCCATTTTTCTCCAGTAACTGAGTGATCTTTGCTGTCCTCTGCTCCAATCTTGCCCCAGATTCTTCCAGTTGCTGTAAAGCAGAAAGGAAGGGTAGAAGAGAGAGCAGAAACACAGGGAGATGTTTTTAAATAGAGTCTCTCAGGACTGGAATAGCCAGCGTGGACATACCAATCTCCAGCTGTACCTCTTCAATATCAAACCTAGCAGCTCCAAATCAGGTACAAAATAAAAGTTCTTCCTAGACCACTCCGAGAAATTGAGGAATTGGATGCAGCTTCAGCTGAGATGTATTGGCCTCTTCACGTTTAGGTTGTATTTTCCATTATGGTAGGAAACATGAAGGTTTAGATTGCCCTAAACTAGTGTTACCCCTTGCTTTGCTATTGCACCTGCAGTTGGCTCGGCTGGTAATTTCCTTTTGCTCTACTTGTGTGATTCTCCCACCCTCCCGCGCTTCCCTTGCTCTGAAAGCTTGTTTTCCCCCTTTGCTTTCCACACCAAGTATTCCTCCCCCGCCCACCCCCCCCCAAACTGGTTTCAACCCTTCTAGAAAGATCCCCTACATGCTGCAGCTGCTTGATCTGGAATCTGGTGTGCCGCTGCTCTGTCAATAAGTCATCTTTTGTGTTCCTGAGTTTCTTGTCCAAATCCTGATGCTCCCGGAAGGACAAACTGCTGCCAGGCTGTCGTGGATGGGCCCTCAGGTTATCTCGTTCCTGGGTGAACGCTGCAATCTGAGACAGACAGAACAGAATCACAAGGAGATAAAAGTTGTCCAACCTTCGGGAGAAAGGAACACAAGTGGAGAAGGGTCAACAAGTTGGGAAAGGGAAAGGGAAAGGAAGTGGTTGTGGCATGAGAGCAGATCAACCTCAGTCTGCTTTGTTATAGAGATAGTCATAGAGATGTACAGCACAGAAACAGACCCTTCAGTCTAACTTTTCCGTGTCAACCAGATATCCTATATAAATCTAGTCCCATTTGCCATTATGTGGTCCGAACTTCTCTAAACCCTTCCTATTCATATACCCACCCAGGTGCCTTTTAAATGTTGTAATTGTATCAGCCTCTACTACTTCCTCTGGCAGCTCCTTCCATACACGCATCACCCTCTGCGCGAAAAAGTTGCCACTTAGGTCCCTTTTAAATCTTTCCCCTCTCACCTTAAACCTGTGCCCTTTAGTTTTGGACTCCCCTACCCAGCAAAAAAGATTTTGGCTATTCACCCTATCCATGCCCCTCATGATTTTATAATCCTCTATAAGGTCATGTAAAAAGAACAAAAAATGTGAGAGGTCAAGTAGATAAATGGTTTAAAAACAGTAGCTGCTATCCCATGAATTATAGTTAGGATCAAAGCATACAAGAACAAAAAAAGTAATCAGTAATTTATGTACATTAATGGTATTATTCTAGGATCTAACACCAGACCATCGACTTTGTCATGAGCTGGTTAGGGACTAGTGACCTTTGTTTTTAAAGCAGACAATACCTGGGATCCAGGGAACTTACTAAAAGAATAAACCCACAAGATTCCATGATTTTGAACAAATAACAAAACTTTACTATATAAAATTAGAACAATAATACAGTCTTACAATAAATATTCAACTTATTTCCAACACCCAGAATTAACTTGTGATAAACATGGGTAATATATTGCAATCGAACAACCCATAGCACACAACAAATAGTAAACATGATTAAGAGAGATCCCACTGGTTATTCCTTACTCACCCTGAAATTAATGACACGATAGGTTATCAAAATTTCACTAAATTTTAGAAGAAATTACGATTCCCCACTTTTGCAGATCTGGCCTTGAAACTCTCTCCCAAGAGATGTTCCAGAATGGACTGCCTCAACAATTGTGCCTGTCCCACATTGTGCTTCCCTTGGACTCTGAAAATGGTACCACATAACTCCAGCTCGTGACCAGCAGCTAACATTACAAGCTAAAAACTGCCCTTGGGTTTTCGCTCAGCTCTAACTTGTTCTGTTGCATCAGCAAATACTGTTTGTGGCTTTTCAACCACTACTATCTGTTGCACTAAAGTATGAATGCTTGTAGGTTTCTTCTGAACCCATTAAAGCTTCCCCCCCGCCAACACAGCCAGTTATCTTTCCACTTTCTCGGCTCCTCAGGTCTGATTTGGAGTTCTGACTCCAAATTAGCTGCTTGCTAATTCCTGGAACTACTTCCACAGTTTATTCTAACACCACAGAACAATCCAACTGCTCTCAACTCCTTCCCTGCAGGACAGCTAAAAATCAGCACCGCTAACAATGGAATCTGCTTATCTGTGACTCTTGCTCCAACTATCTGTCACCCCAGAACCACTCTTCAGTGGCCTCAAACTGCCATGAGTGACCTATTAAAATCTTTGAAACCAGCCCCCCTCCAATCACAGGGCAGAACTGAATGCTGTCACTTGGCAACATCTTCTTCCACAATTGTTAAATTCTCACAGCATGCAGGAATTAGATTTCAAAGATAGATCAATGCTGGATTCTAATTAACTTTTGGAAGAATGTCAAGGTTGTATAGACTACGTAACAGATGCTTGCTGAGATCAAACGAAGGATAAGAGATTTTAGTAACGTGGAGACAGAGAAACCAGGGCACTTTTCATCAGAACAGAGAAGATTAAGAGATCTGGTGAGGATATACCTACCGTTATGGGCTTTGAGGAAAGAAAGCAGGAAAAATTGCTAACACTGGTAGAGAGTTAGTAACCAAAAGGAATAGTGATGATCAACAGCGAGAGAGAAGGGAAAGTTTTTCAAGTGTTCAGATATGAATGCCCCTGCCAGAAACAGTGACAGGTAGAGAATGCAAAAAAACTTTACCAAGGTAATAGAATAAGTATTTGAAAGTGAAATTTTCCATAAGAGACTGGAGGAAAGAAGAAGAAAATTGAGATAATGGACAGGTCTTTGAGAGAGCTGGCATAGACAAACAGGCTGCTTATGTGGTGTGAAATTTTATGAAGTAGATTTTATTTTTGTGCAGTATAAAAGGATGACAGCAAAAGTACAGAGATTTTTTGAGGGTCAAGCACCCCTTTCCACATCCTCACCTGTGCGTTCTTCTGTCTCAGTTTGTTGTATTGCTTCAAATCAAGTTCACCCTCGAGATCTTGCAACTCCTGCAGACAGTCATCTTGCTTAAACTCTGGCATAGCCAGCTCCATGCTGAGGTGTAGAGAGAAAGAGAGAGAGAGAGAGACAGCAGAGAGGCTCAGTGCAATGTTTCTGACTGAAAGCCATTTGCTATCATCACAGCGCTATGCCGCCCCAGAATTATCATCTCTGATCTCCATCCTTTCTCAAACACTCAAATCATACATTCCAGACAACAGCAAATAGAAATCTCAAGGCACACCTAATAACAAACAACAGTAGAGGCTCCACAGAAATTGTCCAATGCTTTTTGGATAAAATCTAACCTAACACTACACATTCAGTAAGAGGTTTTGCCTTCCAGATGAAATTTCAAATAGTGGTTCTATCTTCCCTTTCAGGGAGATCAAAAAGGTCCATAGTATTATTTTTGAAGAAGGTCTGGAGAGCTCTCCAATTGGATCTTGAGCAAAATTTATCCCTCAATCAAAATTACCTAAAAGCAGATGATCTGGTCAGTATCACTTTGCTGGTTGTGGGGGCTTGCTGTGCACACATTGCCTCTATATTAAAACACACTGACAACATTTCCAAAGTGCTTTCCTGGTGGCAAACCACAATACCATCCTGTGGTTTTGTAGGCTGCTATGTCTTTCTTGTGACATCTACCCCCTTGCAGATCCTGTAGCTAGAGAGACCAAAATGTCATCAGTCTTTTTCAAAATATACTCTACACCAAAGGTACTGGTGCAGATGTGGGAAGAGAAGAGACAGCCATGCACAGACTATGGGTATGTGATATCTCCATATCCCTAACTCCCATAGGCATCGTCTTTGATAGGAGTGATCAGACTGACAGTACTCACCCCCCTCATCTGCTGCTCCTTCTCAGCCGTCTGGTTCCACAACTAGGTCTTCCATTAGGTTCCCCCCACCCCCATGAAGTCTTTGTGCAAAATGACCGGGGCAGAGAATGAAGAGCTAGTGGAAACTGTGCGTGGGGGATGAGAAGGGATTTGTAATTTGGTGGTTGGTCAGTTGCCAATGAACTCCAACAACATGCAAACATCTGTGGAATTCCACTGATGATTGGTCAGGTCAGGTTCTGAAACAAACCAGGTTTGGTGCAATAAACACAGTTAAGTCACACTTTCACCCCAAGAACCTTCACTGCCACACTGAGCTCTTCAGGCCTTCTTCACAAATGCATTTTGTCTCCGTTATCCACGAGGGAAAGGGGCACAGACAAAAACCATCACTGCACACCACCCGTATAAAGATGATGGTCAGTTGGGACTTTGTGGCGTCTCTTTACATTTTTGTCAGCTTGCACGCAACATTACATCACCTGGTCTTGGGGACCTCATTCTGTGTCTCTTGTTGCTGGGATGCCAAGGTCATTGCATCCTGTTGACCCTTCTCCATTGTTTCTTTCAAGGACTGGATGTCTTGCTGGGATCAGAAGAAAAAGGAGTGGCCACAATTAATTCCACAAGGCTGATGTTGGACTTCCCTCCTTACTGTAGTGATGGGCATACCTTGCTCAATCAATGCAACTCATCTCAAAGTTCACTTCACTTCCAGCAATCTGTTACAGCTAACTGGGCAAGATCAGCACTGTTACATCAGTGATATCTTTTGTTAAAGTGGTCAGAAAGGACAATGCAGGTGGAGCTGCCCACAGGCCACCAACAGGTTTGGGTGCATGACTTTTTTGTGCACACATGAGTTGGAAACGTTGGTTGAAGACTTATCGCATGGTCCCCACTTTGCTTTGGCTCTGTATTTGACAGTAAACTGGTAAAGGGGAGCTGCAGTCTTGCAGGAATGGACAAGACTGGTGTGTCAAATGTAGGTTGATATGAAGTACTTACAATGGTGGATTGGATAGGGTTAGAAAGAATGAGAGAGTGAGGGGAAAGAACTATTCCTGATATTTTCTAGTTTGTGAACCTGGACATCCACCCCTCTGAAAAAGATATCACTATATGGTCATTCAGATAAAATACCGTGGAGAACACCTATCAATAACAGTATTAGACTCTCACAGATTGTAACTTCATATCTAGAAACAGATCAGTGTTGTTTCCTTCCTTATTGGGATGAAATCTTAATGATTCCTAAAAGGGCACTGGATGATTGTTTGGACAAAATGAATGTGCAAAGGTTTGGGGAAAAGCAGGAGAGTGGCGCTAGAAAATAATGCCTATTTAAGGAGCTGGTGCAAGCATGATGGGCTGAATGGTCTCCATCTATGCTGTGCCACTTCTGTGATTCCTGTGTACAACATAGAAATCTCTCCTGTTCTTGTTATTTTCTTCTTAAGAATCAATCCTTATATAGTCAAGGATACACCTGAAAGTCAGCAGATGCATTGCCATTTCGACAAACTACAATGATTCCAAGTTTACTGCAGGAGATCTATCATTATAAATGAGCTTGGTTTCTAAAAATCTCTAATGTCACTAAATTACTGAAACATTTTCCCTCCTCCAGTGAATAGATAGCTTGATGTGCTTGAAGCAAAGCAGTTTTAAAATATCAGGAAAAATAATGACCTACAAATCTCCTGAATTGTCCAGCAACCAAAGGGTAATCTTAAGCATTGCTGCCAGAGGACCGGGGCAAAGAAAACAATCGTAAGAACATTAACATTCACAGATTACATTTTATAATTAAAAAGATCAAGTACACTTGTATTCCCCACGCAGATGGCCTAAAAGCCCTCCGTTTCTTCCTCTCCCACAGGCCCAACCAGTCCCCCTCCAACGACACCCTCATCCGTTTAACCAAACTCGTCCTTATTCTCAACAACTTCTCCTTCAACTCCTCCCACTACCTACAGACTAAGGCCACAGGAACCCTCATGGGCCCAAGCTATGCCTGTCTCTTTGTAGGATACGTGGAACAGTCCCTCTTCCGCAGCTACATTGGCACTATTCCCCACCTCTGCCTCTGTTACATTGATGAAGGTGTCGGCGCCGCCTCGTGCTCCCACGAGGAGCTTGAACAGTTCATCAACTTCACTAACACCTTCCACCTAAGTTCACCTGGACCATCTCCGATACCTCCCTGTCCCTCCTGGACCTCTCCGTCTCCATCTCTGGTGACCATCTCAAAACTGATATCTATATCAAGCCCACCGACTCCCACAGCTACCTAGAATACACGTCCTTTCACCCACTTTCCTGCAAGAATGTGATCCTCTAATCCCAATTCCTCCCGCTCCACCAAGACTGCTCCCAAGATGGGGCGTTCCACTCCCAAACATCCCAGATGTCCTCTTATTTCAAGGACCGCAACTTTTCCCTCCGGTGGTCGAAAATGCTCTTGACCGCATCTCTTGTGTTTCCCACACCTCTGCCCTCACATTCCCTCCCACTAACAAAAACAAAGACAGAATTCCCCTTGTCCTCTCATATCAGCCCACTATCATCTTTATCCAATGTATCATTCTCCGCCACTTCCGCCACCTAAAATCCAACCAAAGAGATATTTCCCTCCCCACACCTATCTGCCTTTCGTTGGGACCACTCTCTCCGCGACTCTTTTGTCCACTCCACACTCCCCATTAGCCCCACCACCCCCGGCACCTTTCCCTGCAACCGCAGGAAGTGCTACACCTGCCCCTACACCTCACCCCTCACCTCCATTCGAAGGCACCAAACAAACCTTCCACATTAGACAGATGTTCACCTGCACATCCATCGATATGGTCTATTGCATCTGCTGCTTCTGATGTGGCCGCCTCTACATTGGTGAGACCAAGCGGAGGCTCGGAGATCGCTTTGTAGAGCACCTGCGTTCTGTTCGCGACAAATGACAACACCTTCCAGTCGCAAACCATTTCAACTCACCCTCCCACTCCCTGAGTGACATGTCCATCCTGGGCCTCCTCCAGTGTCACAATGACGCCACCTGCAAATTGGAGGAGCAGCACCTCATATTCCACTTTGGCAGCCTACAGGCCAATGGCCTAAATGTGGATTTTACTAGTTTCAAAATCTCCCCAACCCTGGCCTCATCCCACGACCAACCCTCCCTTTCATCCCCACTTCCTTGACCTGACACAACCTGGCCATCTTCTCTCCCACCTATCCGCTCCACCCACCTCACTGACCAAACCCCACCATTGCCTACCTGCACTTGCCTATCACCATCCCACCTACCTCCCCCAGCCCCACCCCTCCCCCCACCTCTCCACCATTTCTGAAGAAGGATTCCCACCCAAAACGTTAACTTTCCTGCTCGTCTGATGCTGCCTGGCCTGCTGTATTCCTCCAGCTCCACACTGTGTTATCTCAGAACGAACAGCTTGCTTTCCAGTCACTAACCACTTCAAAATGGGCAATCTCAGAGGTCTACTGCCACACATGGCTCTGAAATTTAGTCAGTTTCCAATGTCTTCTTAGCATGCGGCTCTCTCTGTTCCAGGCTACATTCAGCTTTCCCCTTCTTTGTATCTCCCAATGCCGTACGTATGGCATTGGAGTGGGAGATAAGCAACATAGTCCAATGCATGCCAATCTGACTCTGTGCATCCCTCAATCTCACTCTTACAGTTCTGCCTCTTCCAAGTTCCTTTCAAAGCCCAAGTGTGTAACTCACAATATCTCACAATACCCAGAGCTTTTTAATTGCCTCCCCCAGGGTTCTTTCAATGTCATTCCCAGGTCATTGTTTTTGCCCCTCCCTTGTGGCCAAGTGCCACTCCCACATTTCTGTCACTGCCATTCAGAAGCTGCCCTCCAGAAGGTCAGAGGGAGTGACTCCGGACAGTGATCTTCTCACTGATTTTTCTGAGTCTACTCTCAGTCTTTTGCACTGTGACAATAATTAACAATCTTCAATACGGAAGATTGTAAGGACAAAACCAAATCTTACGGCAGCCAGTCTGTGGCACCCAGTGGTCTATAAATCGTTACAATAAACAGTGGTTATCCATCAGACAGAATAAAGGAGTATATTTGAAGAGGAAATGTACAGCACCCTGTAAAAGCTGGACATCTCAGGGGCTCCATTCCAGATCCAAGTATGGTCTGACCCTTGGGAGTCCCATTTTGAGGGGCTGCTGATCCTCCACTTGCTGCCTGGCTCCCTGAAGAATTGCTCGAAATCTTTTTCATCCACAATCATGTTCTTGGTGTTCGAGTGCCTGGAACAACCAGAATATCCTATCTCAGTACCACAGACACAATCACCATCATTATGGCAAAAGCGGCTGCCATTTGGCCCGATGAGGGCAAGCCAGCGAGGTAAATCTCTGCCAATACCTACACCTACAGACAATCTCTGCCAACACGACTTGGTCAAGGGAATAAACAGCAGAGTAGATCACAGACCCATGCTATTTCCTGGGGAGAGAACTTCGGTGTTGAAGGAGTTCGAAGTTCAATTGGACCACCAGTGGTTTGATGAGGCAGATATTGCATTTTGAGATGCAAACTGACAATTTACGATTGCCATTTCATCCAACAGCTGGAATCTCCTGAGGAGAGGTACACATTAGGAATTAGGAGTGTCCAGCCACAGTCAGAAGATTCCACTGCATTTTATTTGTTTCCAGAATTTGGTGACTCCAGTAAGGAAGCATTCATTGCCCAACCCTGGGTAAGCCAGGAGCATTGAATACAAACAACTAATGGGGGACTGCGACAGATAGTCTTACAGCAGATGGGGATGACAGGTCCCCTTCCTAAAGGGCATTAATATAACAGTTGTGTTGTTAACGACAATCTAGACTCTTTCAAGACCATTTTTAGTCTGAACAGCCCTGAAAACGGAGACATCGATTAACCTCAAACATTAAGCTTTATTTCATTCAGCCATGAGGAAAGGGCAATAATCTAGAAGCATGATTTTTAAAAATAATTTATATGTATTTCATAGTTGCAAATTTGTCTACTTTTTGTGGAAGATGTTTGTATTATCTTTGGCCTCTGGTTTCAGAAATAAAGTCACTTGTGGATCATCACAATGTGGACTTGATACTGTGGGGCCTGTAGGAGGAGAAAGGGATAGGAGCAGTGCAGCTGCCTCTAAACTGTATTATCCATACATCTCCAGAGTGATACAGCTTAAAGTTCATTCATTGTCCCCATCTTGCAGCATACACATCAGTAACTAAACATTATAATAGAACATCCCAGTAACATTTAATACTGTTCTTTATAGGAGGTCCCAACAACAGCTACTACATTCCAATAAATAACAATATGCCACAATAGCACTTTCCACAGATGGAGGATCCAAAGTGCATCTTATAGATGGAAAACTTTCCTTCTCCTGTTTGCAGGCCGGGTTTTGTGCTTTAAGCACCAGCATCCCGAGGACTGAGGGCTGAATATTTTAATGAGATTGGAGTAACTCTTTGTGCATTATATCTCTCTGACCTGCCCACCATCTTCCGGAAGCAGCAGCATTTCTTCACAGCATGATTTCCACTCACACCTACATCAAGCTCTTCTGCAAAACAAGACAACAACGACAACAACAACAACAACAACAATGATGTTGCAGCAAGTAATCCAGATGAGGAATTCATTGAATGCTTACAGGACAATTTCTTAGACCATCATGTTATGACACTAACCTGAGATCAGGCTAGATTTTGTTTTGACCAATGAGATAGGATTAATTATTGAACTCATAGTGAGAGTGCCCCTGATTGGCAGCTATCATAATAGGATTCAATTTTATACACAGTTTCAGGGAGAGAAGTGTGGGTCAATGATCAGTATTTTGAATTTAAACAAGGGCAATTATGGGGGCATGAAAGTGAAACTGCAAAAATGAACTGGCAATGTAAGGGATAGGTGAATTGAGATGCAGTGGCAAACATTAAGGGGATATTAGAAAGCACAGAATAGACAGATTCCACCAAATAAATAAAATTCTAAGAGACAGACCCGTCATCTGTGGTTAGCTAAAAAAAGTCAAATGTAGTATCAAACTTAAAGAAAAGACATATAATTGTGCAAAGGTAAATGGCAGGTCAGAAGCTGGGCAGAACATGAAAAAAATAAGCAAAGAATTTCTAAACAATTAATCAAGGAGGGAATAATTTGAATACAAGAAAGTTAGCCAAAAATATAAAAACAAATTGCAAAAGTTTCTTCAGATATTTAAAATAAAAAGTGAACAAAGTAAGTGTTGGTCCTGTAGAAAATGGGTCTAGGCAAATTATAATGGAGAATAAAGAGGTGGAAGACATACAGGTATAGCTTGAAATAGCTGTCGATTCAGGAATTGAAAGAGAGGGAGGAACTCAAGAAGTACCATTACCAGGGAAGTAGTACTGAGTGAATTTCTGGTAAGTCCCAGGTCATAATGGATTTCATCTTAGGGTCTTAAATGTAGTAGCTATTGAGATAATTGATGTGTTGGTTTTAATTATCCAAAACTCCCTTGATTCAGGAACAGACACATTAGATTGAAAGATAGTGATTCGAACCCAGGTCCCAGGAATATTTCCTGGGTCTCTGGATTAATAGTCCAGCGATAATACCACTAGGCCATCACCTCCCTGGAGAGGGAGTTAAGGAGTTTAGCAGATCTGGGACAGCAAGTAGCATAGAAACCCTTTGATACCCTCTCCCAGTCTGGAGAAGGGAGATAATCCACCCCACATCAACAGTCTGCAAATCTTTTTAAGAAGTTTACCCAAGGTGGGTTTTAATGATTAATTATTAATGAGTTACACAGATTTTAGGCTACTCGTTATTTAGAGTAGAAATTCTTCATCACAGAAAGCTGCGGAGGCCAAATCACTGAATATATTCAAAAAAAGCTAGATGTTTTTTAACATTTGAAAGGCTTCAAAGGGTATGGGGAGGAAGTGGGAATATGACATTGAGATCGAGGATCAGCCACTCCTTACAGTAAAGGGAAGACCTTTTAGATCGGAGATAAGGAGAAACTTCTTCAGCCAGAGAGTGGTGAATCTACGGAATTCACTGCCACAGAGGCTGTGGAGGCCAGGTTATTGTGTATATGTAAGACAGAGATAGATAGGTTCTTGATTGTCAAGGGGATCAAGAGTTACTGGGAGAAAGTGGGAGAATGGGATTGATAAACTTATCAGCCATGATTGAATGGTGAAGCAGACTCTATGGGCTGAATGGCCTAATTTCTGCTCCTATGTCTTATGGTCTTATCATGTTGAATGGCGGATAGGGCTCAAAGGGCCGAATAGCCTATTCCTGCTCCTGGTTTCTACGTTTTGTGAAATGAAATGAAATGAACTGTAGATTTCCAAATTAATCAGATGCTTCTAGACAACTGTTCCTGTAACACCCAATCTGAGAGAAGAGGAAACTGTAAAAGCTGAAAGGATGAATCCTTCTCCCAGTTGATCCATATTGAAAGCACAGACGAAACTACAATCATACAGTCAAAGAGATATACAGCACAGAAACAGGCCCTTCGGTCCAACTCGTCCATGCCGACCAGATAGCCTAAATAAATCTATCCCATTTGCCAGCATTTGGCCCATATCCCTCTAAATCTTTCCTATTCATTTACCAATCCAGATGCTTTTTAAATTTTGTAATTAAACCACTCTCCACTACTTCCTCTGGCAGCTCATTCCATATATGCACCATCCTGTGTGTGTGAAAAAGTTACCCCCTAGGTCTCTTTTAAATCTTTACCCTCTCACCTTACACATATGCCCTCTAATTTTGAGCGCCCCCGTGCTGGGGAAAAGACCTTGACTATTCACCCTATCCATGCCCCTCATGAATTTATAAGGTCACCCTCTGTAGGGTCACCCCTCAGCCTCTGACACTCCAGGGAAAATAGCCCCAGTCTATTCAGCCTCTCCCTGTAGCTCAAACCCTCCAACCCTGGCAACATCCTTGTAAATCTTTTCTGAACCATTTCAAGTTTCCTACTGCAGGAAGACCAGAATTGCACACAGTATTCTAAAAGTGGCCTAACCAATGTCTTGTACAGCTGCAACATGACCTCCCAACTCCTATACTCAATACGCTGACCAATAAAGGCAAGTATACCAAACACCTTCTTTGCTATCCTGTCTACTTGAGACTCCACTTTCAAGGAACTATGAATCCGCACTCCAAGGTGTCTTTGTTCAGCAACATTCCCTGGGGCCTTTCCATTAAGTGTATAAATTCTGCCCTGATATGCCTTTCCAAAATGCAGCACCTCACATTTATCTAAATTAAATTCAATTTGCCACTCCTCAGCCCACTGGCCAATCAATCAAGATCCTGTTGTACTCTGAGGTAACCTTCTTCACTGTCCACTACCCCTCCAACTCTGGTGTCATCTGCAAACTTACTAACCATACCTCCTATGTTCACATCGAGATCAGTTATATGAATGACAAAAAGCAATGGGCCCAATCCTTAGAAAATATGAATCATGTAGGAGGTTATAGATGGCCAGGAGTGATTGACCACTGAAAGAGATTGAGTAATGGATGCTGGATTAAACACTCAGTACAGTTTAATATTTTGTGCTGAATGTTGCACAAGTAGTTGCAAAAACAAATGGAGGTGATGGCCTAGTGGTATTAATGCTGGACTGTTAATCCAGTGATCCAGGTAACGATTTGGGTTCAAATGACACATGATGAAGTTTGAATTTAATAAAAAAGATTTGGAATTAAGAGTTTAATGATGACCATGAACCCATTGTCAATTGTTGGAAAAACTGATCTGGTTCACTAATGTCCTTTAGGGAAGGGAACTACCATTCTCATCTGGCTGGTTTACATGTGACTCCAGACCCACAGCAATGTGGCTGACACTGAAGTGTTCTCTGGGCAATTTGGGAATCAGCAATAAATGCTGGCCTGGCCCTCACCCCATGAACAGATGTTTTAAAAAAGTGGGATAGCTTTTTTTTAAAAAAAGGAAGTTGTAATTTACCTGTTCTACATGAAGTTGGTTTAGCTCTGAAGTTGCCCAGTCCATCGCTTCTCAGTTCTTCTCTGTAGGCACCATCTGTGTTGCTTTGCACATGTATCTGTTTCGCTTTGGTAACATTGATGGCACCAGTCAGCTTGCCCTGTGACAAATGCACCCTTCTCCTGGGATGGAATGCAGAGTGTGCAACATCCGAGTGGTGACTTGGAGCCAGCTTACTGCCACTATCACCTTTCCGGGCGTGACACATTGATAAGGACACGGATCCAGTTAGACAAGCTGGGGTGTCCTTGCAATTTTCAATCTCCAGAAGCTGAGATTCAAACGCAGAAGGACCGCCGGCCATTCTCTGCCACTGACCTGAAGTGTTTGTTTTATCTGAAGAATTAACACTGCTTATACAGTGTGCAGGTGAAGAAGAACTAACAGGCTGTGTACAGCAAGGGACCAAAGTGGGTATCATGTGGGACGGTGAGGGGGTTCTATTCATATTCACCGCCACAGCATCTTGCTGCAGCGGACGCTTGTAATTGGGGGATGAGCTCTCCTGCTGGACTTGAGTCCCGATACTGGTATCTCCCTTCAAGAGGCCCTGGAGATCAGGATTATGCCACTCTGGACTCTTTGACTGGCTTTTCTGTGACTCTTTCACTTTTATTCCAATACTCGCAAGATTGGTTCCCAGATCTTCTTGGATCAACACATCTAGATCAGATCCTGGGGAACTGCTGGTCTCCAAACCACTCCCAGTGAATTGATTTAGGTTTACAGGGGATTCCCTGGATGGATCTGTAAATTGGATTCTGTTCCTGGAAAGAAAGGCCCTCCGCTGCAGTGACTGCTCTGACAAGTTGAATTGGCTGAGTTTTGAAATCCTGCCACCCAAAGACTCAACGCTCTCAGTTCTTCTGGTCAAGGCCTTGGAAGCTGCCTGCTGTCTCCATAGGGTCCCAACCTGTCCCCTGGTCCTTTGCAGGGCATGTTCTAAATCCTCTTGAAATTGTTGCACAACATTTACCCTCTGAGCTACTGAATCAACAGGCCCATCAGCCACCGCGCCATCCTGATCACCTCGAGGAGAGGCATATCCAACAAACTCATCCTGCTCTGCACTAGTTAGACTCTGAGCTGGGTGAATTCTTGCAGAGGTTTCTGTAAGAACTCTGCCACAATCTTGCTTGGCCGTGCAGTCAGGTTGAGCGCACTCCGTATTGCTCTTTTCCCTTCTGAATAGTCTCTGCTTCCGAGGAGGATCACAGACTTCACTTCCCAGATTTCCTCGTTGGGAGTCAGGTTCAAGGCTGGCATATTCTGGAGACTGTTCACTGCAGGAAGCATGGCTGCTGATGACCGAGTTCTGTTCACTGTCTGGCTCTGCGTCGAAGTACAATGCTGGGTCTACCATACCCTCATGAAAACGCAAAGCAAAGTCTTCTGTCCGAATGCTGTCCACCGTGTTGGTGTCACTCTGATATTGCTGGAACTCTATCTGTTGTAGCCCTAGTAGCTGCTTCACTCTCCACTCATACTGCTCCTTTCTCGACTCACCATCTGCCTCTGCTCCTGGTCTCCCAAACTTAGTCAATGTAATGTCAGACCGACTCTTTCTGAAATCTGGGCTTAGATTGAACATTGCTGTAACATCCTGTCCTCCACTTAGACTCAAGACTCCTTTCAGATCTTCACATTCTGCGGTTGTGATAAAACATAGGCACAGTCAACTTAGGTCCAGTAGGAGTCAAATGAGCCCCAATGTTTTCATTCCCCCTCAGGCAATGGACAGAGTAATCCAGATTCCAGAGATCCTCCGATACCCTCTCCCAAATGGCTATTCTCCACCAAAATATCAGGAGGACTGAAGCCCATGTCTTTGATCCTTATCATTAACTTACTCTCAAGTCACCCATGCCATCTCTGTCCCTGATGATTGTCGGAGGTTGAACTGGAACTTTGGTGTCCTATTTGATTCTGAGATGAGATTCTAACCATCACTGACCACACCAATCTCCATCTCTGTGATATTGACGACTTTGCCCCTTGTTCAACACATCTGCTGCTGAAACCCTTATGCATGCTGTTGTTACCTCCGGCCCTGATTATGCAAACATACTCCAGGCTAATCTTCATGGGCCTTCCAGGCCTGGTTATTGGAGATTACTGAATACTGTATCCTAACTCACACCAGCTAATTCATCTCCTGCCCCGTACGTTTTAAAATTCTCATCTTTATTTTAAATGCCTTCATGTCCTCTGCAGTTAATGCACTGATCACAAATGAAACAGGACAGTTTGGCCAAGTCACATGTGGATTGGTACAGCAGATTCCTGTGCTTTGGAGCTGCATGGGATGAATCTCAACCTAACCCACTACATCTCCATCCAGAGCAGCTTTGCAAAGGCACATTCCAGAATGGGATGGTTGACAGTCTCTTCTCCACTACAACTGTTTTGAGGGGCAATGCACAAAGGGGATGACTCTCTAGGCATGAAGGATCTGATAGCGAGGGCCATTCCCATCACCAGTCAAGTTACATTTCAGCATGACAGCAATGATGGCTATGGACCCCTGACCCGTCTAGAGTTTTGTGCATTGTGTCCGTGTAGACAAGGTATATTTTCAGTCTCCAATAAGGAAATCCATTTTATTGTGCTCGTTTTGTACTGGGCAAGCTGGCAAGCTGTGAAAATGTAACTTTCAGGGAACTCAGTGTTTCAATGTTAGTTACATTCAACTTTGATGACCCAGAGAAAGAATAACCCCAAAATTCAAATTGTCTCTCTCTCTTTCCCCCCCGCCTCTGTTTCTTCATTTTATGCATTCTTCCTTCCCTTTGGTGTCTCCTCTCTTCCCTTTTCTCTCTCCAATCCTCCATTCCTCTATTTCCTGTTTTCCATTTCGCTCTGCCAGAGTCTTTCACCAACTCCCTCTCCTCCATGTCATTCTGCTCTCTTCCTCCTTCTTCATTCCTTTAGTCTCTCTCCCCACCTCTATTCCTGCCATCCATTCAGTTCTTCAGGTCTTTATCTTTTATCCAAAGTTTCTCCCTTCTTTCATGGCATCTCTTTTTCCTGGTTCTCTTTGTCACAGGCAGGTGAAGGGTAGAGCTTTAATACATCCTATCCTCCCCAAGTTAATGCCCATCACCAATGACTACAAATAAATACCTAATTATTATATAACTAGCAGAGATCTACAAAACCCCCATGGTAGAATTAGCATCTTAATTGCCAAAGTTCTTTAAGTCCCCATCCCATGCCATAGATGTCACTGCTTACCAGTGCCAATGTTTTCACACCTCTCATGTGATCTCCTATCACCTTTCCCTCTATCACTCCTGTTCTGTTTTATATTGGGTGAGATTACTCAATAAAACTGTTGTTCTGCTCCTATATGTGATGAGAGTTAATTAATTAGATATTTTAAAACTGTACTGGGATACTGAGTGTACCGAGGTAGCAGCAAAATAATAAATTCACCAACAGATTCACCTCTTAAACTGACCAAATAATCCAGATAGATGAAAATTGCACTATAAAAACCCCCACTTTGATCAGACCCTTTCTATCTCCACAGTCACCAGCTTCTCTTAAACTCCTCTTTCATTCCCCTCCCCCACGTCTTCATTTTCTTCATCCCTTCTTACATCTGGTCCTACACTTGATCATTTGTGGGGAGGCAATGGCCTAGTGGTATTATTGCTGGACTGTTAATCCAGAGACAAAGATAATGCTCTGGATTTGAATCCCACTGCAGTAGATGGTGGAATTTGAATTCAATTAAAAAAAAAATCTAGAATTAGGAATCTAGTGGTAATCTGTTGCCGATTGTTGGAAAGCCCCATCTGGTTCGCTAATGTCCTTTAGGGAAGGAAACTGCCATCCTTACCTGGTCTGGGCCTACATGTGACTCACAGCAATGTGGTTGACTCTCAACTGCCCTCTGGGCAATTAGGGATGGGTAGTAAATGTTGCCTAAAAGTGATGCTCTTATCCCATAAATGAATAACGGAAAAGAAAATTATCCCAATTTGTCCTCACTCAAGCCTAATGCTTGATGAATTATGAGGCACTGCAGTAACTCCTGTTGACTTCCACAGCACACCCCGAATCTTCACCACTGAGAATGACAAGAGCAGCGGTGCATGGAAACATTACTCCAAATCATGCAGAATCCTGACTCAAACATTTCATCGCTCCCTTGATGTCCCTGATGGAAAATCATGGAACTTTTTATCTAACAGCACTGTGAAAATACCTTGATCCTACAGACAGCAGTGGTTCAAGGAGACGACTGATGACTGTGGTATTTGTGGGTAGATGAATATTGCCTTTCCTGGGTCTAAGGGGCTATTTGGTTTGCAGCAGTAGGGAAATAACCACCATCGAGTCTTGACAAGTAGAAACTCTTTTCTTAACAAGATATAGTAATATTGCGTGATAATAAGTAGAACCATAGAATCTCTAAAATGCGTAAGTAGGCCATTTGGCCCATCAAGTCCATGGTGACCCTCTGAAGAGCATCCCACCCAGACCAAGGCCCCACTACCCTATCCCTGTAACACTGCATTTCCCATGGCCAACCCACCTAACCTGCACATCCTTGGACACTATGGGCAATTTAGCATGGCCTATCCATCTACTGTGCACACCTTTGGACTGTGGAAGGAAACTGGAGCACCCAGAGGAAACCCATGCAGACATGGGCAGAATGTGCAAACTCCACACAGACAGTCAATACGAGGCTGAATCGAACCTGGCCCCTGGTGCTGTGAGGCAGCAGTGCTAAACACTGAGCCACCGTGCCATCTCAAATTAGATGCCAGGTACAGTAAATAGTTGGAAGTGTCTTATGGTATAGTGATAGTGTCCCTCCCTCTGGGCCAGAAGTTCCACTTTCTCCAGAAATGTGTTGTAACATGTCTGAACAGGGAGATATCGATTTTAGCTATCTAGACATTGGTACTAAGATGTTTGAGCAACACTGATGACATTTGATCCAGAGATATTCTTCCAATTCCTCAAAACAGAACAATTTCATTGGATTGTGTTTAATGCAGTCTCCAAAATAAACCCTTTTAGAACACCTTCCTTCAACAACGATCACCGCCTCCCCAAGAGTCACTAGGGTTGGGCAATAAATGCAAATCTTGCTATACTTAAGTAATAAATGGGTTAGAAATTATACAGCTCCTTCCTCCTCGTTGTAAATTTACCCACCTGAAACACTGTTACCTTCTTGTCTCATGGGGATCAGCATTTCTGTGTCTGACAAGACATCAGCACCACTGGCACTACCCAATCCAGTATCCCGAGTGCCAGACTGGCTCGTATTCAGAGTTCCTTTAAAGTACAAACAAGGGAACAGCTAGGGAGCAGCAAGAAACTGTTGTACCACACGAGGTAAAGGTAAAGTCACCATAATCCTACCAGACCACAGAGCTGCTCCCTCATCACAGAGGGAGTGCTTTAACCTGAGGGTCATTATGCTTCAGGTGAGGGGTGAAGTTGAGAAGGAGAGTCCTTCATGGTAGCCTCAGCTAGTGTGGGAAATTGAACCCACACTGTTGGCATCACGCCGCATTGCAAACCAGCTATCCAGCCAACAGAACTAACCAACCATCAACTTTGGAATAGCAAGCTGACCGAGTAGCCCAGTAAATCTCTGGCTGTTCTGTTATTTTGGTAGAGTACAGCTTAGGGTTCCTTTACTTCATTTACTGAGAGAGACATTGAGTGGAGAACTGGTGATGGCAGTGGTGTTGGTGAGGTATGTAGGAGCAGTCTGCCCACAGCACTGTGTTTTGTGGTGCGTGGTGATCAGGGTAAGGTGTAAGGTGTGTTGATCAGGGTGATACAGTTGATGTGGTGTACATAGACTTCCAGAAGGCATTTGATACAGAGGCAGGCAGTAGAATGTGAGTCAAGTTAGATCTCATGGAACAAAGGGCCAGTAGCAACATGAATAGAAAATTGGCTGAGTAGCAGAAACTGAGAGGAATGGTCAATGGATGATTGTTGGGCTGGGGAAGGTTTGTAGTTCTCTAGGTGTCAGTCTGGGACCCTTGCTTTTCCTGATATATATTAATTGTCTAAGAGGCTATGTCCAGGACACAATTTAAGACTTCCAGATGATACAAAACCTGGGAGCATTGAAAGCTGTTCGAATGTTAGTGTAGAACTTCAAAAAGACATAGATAAGCTGGTGAGTTGGTAAATGAAGTTTAATGTTGAAAGATGTGAGGTGATACATTTTGGTAAGAAGAACATGGACAGACATGATAAACTAAAGGGTACTACTTTAGAGGGGCCTAGGAGCAGAGGGACCTGGGGTAGCATGTGCCTAAGTTATTAAAGATGTAAGACAGGTTGAGGAAGCAATTAATAAAGCACACAGTATCCCAGATGTTTTAACAATAGGGCTATACAGTACAAGGGCAAGCAGGTTATATTGGACTTGTACACCACATTACATTAGACAATAAAATAAAACCAGGAACTACGGATGCTGTCGGTGTGTTTTCTTGACTGTAGCATCGATATGGCTGGGCCAGGACAGATTGTTGGTGATATTTACTCCTAGGAACTCTCGACCACCTCCACCTCAACCCCATTGATACAGACCGGGGTGTGCCCTCCACTCCGCTTCCTGAAGTCGATGACCAGCTCCTTCATTTTGCAGACATTGAGGGAGAGTGTGTTGTCATTACACCATGTCACTAGGCTCTCTACCTCTTTCTGTCTCATTGCTGGTTGACATCCAACCCCCTATGGTTGGTGTCGTCAGCAAATTTGTAAATGCAGTTAGAGCAGAATTTGGCCACACAGTCATGAGTGTATAAGGAGTATAGTAGGGGGTCGATGTTGAGGATTATCGTGAAGGAGGTGCTGTTGCCTATCATTACCGATTGCGGTCTGTGGCTCAGGAAGTCAAGGATCTAGCTGCAGAGCGGGGAGCAGAGTTTGGAGATGAGTTTGGTTGGAATTATGGTGTTGAAGGTGGAGCTGAAGTCAATAAAGCCTGACATGGGTGCCTTTGTTATTCAGATATTTCAGGGATGAGTGTAGGGCCAGAGAGATGGCGTCTGCTATTGCTGATAGGCAAGTCCAGCGTCAGCTACAGTACTGCATTCAGTTATTTGCATCATATTTTAGGAAATATTTGAAGGCACTGAAGAAAATGCAGAAGAGGTGCCCAAGAATTGTTCCAGGGTTGAGGAATTTTAGTTATGAAGATGGGTAGGAGAAGTTGGAACTGCTTTCCTTGGAAAACAGAAAGCTGAGAGGATTTTGATACAAGTATTCAAAATAGTGAGGGGTCTGGGCTGAACAAATGGAGAGAACATGTTCCAATTTGTCAAAGGATTAAGAAGGAAGAGACACAAAATTAAAAATAATTAGTAAAAGAAGCAAACGTGATATAAGGAAAAACATTATCATGTAAGAAGTGGGTAGGGTCTAGAACGAATTGCCGGAGAGTATAATGAAGGCTGCATCCGTTGAGGCATTCGAAAGGGAATTAGATAGTTATTTGAAAAGGAACAATATGCAGGGTTATGTGGAGAAGAGAGGAGAATGATGCTAAGTGAGATACTCATTTGGAGAGGCCGAATGGCGTCTTTCAGCACTGTAACAATTCTGATATTACACTATATAAATGCAATTCTATCCTTTTCATTTCAAGCACATTCTCCACACATTGGCCAACATGTCTGAGCCACTCTGTTGTTTGGTCCTTAGTAACTGAAGAACATTCCCAATATTAGAACTGTTATGGAAAAGCCACCGGGTGTCTTTCCCAGCCAATAAGATAAAAGCCTCACTCTAAAAGCACAGTTAGAGACATGGAATGATCCCCACCTGTCTTTCCAGAAAGTTTTACTGTGTTCCTGAAGGAGGCGCTCTTCATCAGGCTGCTAGTTGCTGGCAATGCGTGGTCGGTTAATACGGAAACCTGCATAAAAGGATCAGAGTTATCAGCACTGTTCAAATCTCCGGGTTAAGTGGTTTCATCATTGCCACGAATTGCTCATGAAGGAACATTGTGCCAATAGGTTGGGGGGAGATGGGGTTCTGGTCAAGGGGATTCATACACAAGACATATTCATAAACCAAAGGGATTAGAGAGTCTTTCCTGAGAAGTTGGCTGAGCATATTCTGGGTTCACAGTAGAGAACAGTTCAGGCTACAACTGACCTGGAAATGTTTGATGGAGACAGCTCGCCTCAGCCAACAAAATGAGTTTGGTAAAGAAACACATCATCCTGAATTGAGATTAAACTGAATTGTCTAACTATCGTCACTCCAGTCTGAAACCATTCCTGATATCACAGCCTGACTAAAAGTAGACCCACTGGAACTAACCCTCAGTTACCTGTGGGGGAGTTTCAAATAAGGTGTGACTGGAAAGTGGAGGGTCATTCAGTCTCTGATTTACCTGCAGCTGGCTCAGCTGAGCATCAATGGAGTCCATCAGATAGTCACAGTGGTCTTTCAGGGGCTGCAATGCTGTTTCACTTTGAACATGACTCTCCACCTCCATCCTGCACTGGGGAAAATGGAAATTATTTCAAATCAGCAGTCTTTGCACTTGATTGATTATTTTGACAATTTAAAAAGCTGAGTTTTCTGAAAAAAAACTAGACATTGTTGTAACCCTTTGAAAAAGAGGGCAAGGCTTTTCCTACAATTCCTACAGCACGGAAGCAGGTCATTTGCCCAACAAATCCATACTGATCCTCTGAAGAGCATCCCACTCAGACCCATCCCCTACCACTGCATTTCCCATGGCCAATCCACCTAGCCTGCACATCCCTGAACACTATGGGCAATTTAGCATGGCCAATCCAACGAGCCTGCACAGCTTTGGACTGTGGGAGGAAACCGGAGCACCGGGCGGAAACCCACACAGACACAGGGAGAATGTGCAAACTCCACACAGACAGTCACCCGATGGTGGAATCAAACCTGGGTCTCTGGTGCTGTGAGGCAGCAGTGCTAACCACTGAATCACCATACTACCCTGATAATTCAATAATAAGGATTTTGATAATCCTTTTCAATTTCTAAGATATTGTGAAATTAAATTTCACTCACTTTATTGGCTAACAGAACACGTGGGGCCTAAAATTCAGCAGGAAGTCTGCCTCTATAATGTGTGGAACATTGTCAGCCAGAGAATCGTGTCAGGCACTGTGCTAAGGACAAAGGGACCAGAATCATTCATTCAGACTCAGGGGACAAGTGAGTGCTACAAATCAGATCTCCAGCACTTGTTGTTTTCTGTACAGATTCCAGCATCAGCAGTAATTTTCTCCTGAAAGTCAGATGCCAGGATGGACTAAAAGCGAAATGTTGTGAGCTGAATTAGTGAGATAACTAATTTGTGACAAATATCAGTGTTGCAACTACACTTAGAATCAGAGTTATAGAGATATACAGCATGGAAACAGAACTTTTGGTCCAATTAGTCCATGTCGAACAGATATCTTAAATTAATCTAGTCCCATTTGCCAGCATTTGGCCCATATGCCTCTAAACCCTTCCTATTCATATACTCATCCAGATGCCATTTAAATGTTTTAATTGTACCAGCCTCCACCACTTCCTCTGGCAGCTCATTCCAAACACGCACCTGTCTCTTTCAAATCTTTCCTCTCGCACCATAAACCTATGCCCTCTAGTTTTGGACTCCCTCGCCCTGCAGAAAAGACCTTGTCTATTCACCCTATCCATGCCCCTGATGATTTTATTAAACCTCTATAAGGTCACCCTTCAGCCTCTGACACACCAGGGAAAATAGCCCCAGTCTATTCAGCCTCTCCCTGTAACTCAAACCCTCCAACCGTGGGAACACCCTTGTAAATTCTTTCTGAACCTTTTCAAGTTTCACGACATCTTTCCTTTAGCCGGGAGACCGGAACTGAACGCAGTATTCCAAAAGTGGCCTAACCAATGTCCTGTACAGTCACAACATGACCTTTAACTCCTATACTTAATGCACTGACCAATAAAGGCAAGCATACCAAACACCTCATAAATTTTATCCTCCTAATAACACTGCAACAGAGCCCAATCAATCACTAGTGTGAGGATGAAGTAAAATGGAATTGTGTTAAGCAGATGCAAAATTATACATAAATTATATGCGAAGTACTGTAGATGCTGGAAATCTGAAATAAAGGCAAATGCTGGAAGTACTCAGGTCAGGCAATATCTGTGGAGATTGAAAGTGAGTTTACCTTTCAGCTTGGTGATCTTCCATCAAACCTGAAGTATGCAGAACAACGAATTAAAATGCAAATTTGTAATTGATCTTAGTTAATAGCAGAGACCCAGCTGTAACTGCGTCTCCACGCAGTGACAATCAAGCGGCTGACTGGACGACCACCAGTAAGTTGGCAGGAGATTATCCAAGACCGCATAGCTCAGCACAGTCAAGTCAGCACAAGTATTCCCGGATTTTTTGTTTGTGGTACCGCAGAGAGCTGGAATTCTCTCCAGGCGAGAGAGTGGTGAGAAGTGATCCTGGAAGAATTAATCCGAATTTAAAATAAAGCCATTGCTCTTTCTGAGCCAGAATTAATATCTTATGCATGGTATTATTGAAAAACATACATTTTAAGCTTCGACAAAATGTGCCTTTTTTCAGGAATACTCAAGTTCTGGAAAGTGTTTCATCTTCTAAGTAGAAATAGAAACAATTGATTTTCAAGGGAGTTTAATGTAAAATTCTTGCTCCTGAAGACATTCACGGCAGATTTTACCATCCTATATTATTAATTATGCAAGTCTGGGTTAAACGAACAGATATTGGGGCGGCATGGTGGCTAAGTGGTTAGCTACTGCTGCCTCACAGCGCCAGAGATCTGGGTTCAATTCCACCCTCAAGCGACCGTCTGTGTGGAGTTTGCATATTCTCCGTGTCTGTGTGGGTTTCCTCCGGGTGCTCTGGTTTCCTCCCACAGTCCAAAGATGTGCAGGTTAGGTGGATTGGCCATGCTAAATTGCTCATAGTGTTCAGGGATGCCTAGCTTAGGTGGGTTATAAAGAGATGGGTCTGGGTAGGATGCTCTAAGGGTCTATGTGAACTTTACAAAGCTAGCTGGAAAATGGTTGTTGCAGTGCCCAGTTTCTGCCACAGGAGGGACGTGGTGAGCTATTCACCTTTGCTCTGTGAAGGGTAAGTTTCTATTCTGTAGCAAAATAAAATCCCTTTCTGCGTTTGATGGTAGGAGCTGCAGATGCTGGAGAATCTGAGATAACAAGGTGT